CCAGCACACATGGAAACCTTAGTGGAAACGAGTACACTGAAAAATAAATTCTACATTTTGAGGCACGAAGGATCAGAAAGTCATCGAGAAAGATCTGATCCTTCAGAAATCTCGGCTTCTCACGACCATGAGAGTACCCAGCCGCCGCCTCAGCAAAGTTGCTGCTTTTTCATACCTGTGGGGCCATTCGCGGGCCATGCGGTGTTTCTCGGATACTATGGGCAAGTGCTACGGATATGCTCATCGCTACGATACACAAAAAGCTTGGAGGACTCTGGACTCGACAGTATCGGCAGGCGAGTGTTGCTGATCCGATTGCTTGTTCCAATGGGCCCACTGACGAGCAGCGTGATGAGTCTGTTGCAGGAGCATGCGTACATCGTGGAAATAGATAAGGTCCCATGACCTTCAAAAGGAGGGGCGCTGCTCTGTGTTTGCGTTGGCCTGCAAAGAACCACGATGTACCTCCCCAGAGGAAAGAGTTCGTTTTCATTCGCAAGATTCCGATCAGACAATGGACAGCAGTCGAATCCATCGCCAGACTCAGATCTAAGAAATGCTTGCAGGAGGGAGAACCCGGACAAATAATTGTGTGATGGCAGCATCAGGCTCCCAAAGACTGTGACTCCTGATCTCTGGACTCTACAGTGGCGATTGATGCTTAACCAACGCGAGTGCTATACCTTGTGCGCTGATGTCCTCATCAGGCCTTGAGTGTCAGTGGAGCCATCGTTCACATGATGGTCACACTTCCACCTGTAGACACAATCCAGAGCCAAGATACGAATCTGACTCAGGTGTTCATCTTGATGTGGCGAGTAGCAGTGCATGTGGTAAGGGATCTACACTGGTACATGTGTTCAAACAGTAGTTGCAGAAAGATAGAGGCAGCAATCTCAAAACTCTTGACAAATATTCAGTACGAATTGTTCCTGCTAGAGGTGACGGATTGTACAAAATATACTTAAACCGAATGTAGTACGTAGAATGTAGGAGGTATAAACTCCACCCATAAGCTATTCATGCTCGGCCTCGACAGCTTCAGCCTTTCGTGCAAGCAGGAAGGCTTCATATCCAATCCATGGCAATCTTGACTTCTCACTTTGATTACTGGAATTGCATGCGTTATGACGGGGTGAGCTGCTCCAGAAAGCGTCAAAATGTCTACATCTAGAGACAATGTTATGATTCAATAACACAGTTCGTTGTGTCTGACCACGTCTATATTACTAAGGATTCTGGAGAACCTCAGTTCCAGACGACATGGTCTACAAGCAATGAGATTCTATAAATTTATTAGTATCAATGCAATACGCGCTGGTGTCACTTCTACGACCTGAGGTTTATTTACAGTTGATAACTGTCTTTTTTCATCGATCCCCCAGGTTGCAATATTGGTAAAGATGGCCCTTGACCATCTGAACGACGGGCGTAGAAACGTCAGATGCTCCAACCAATGTCCCGTTTCTCTTCTGCTTTTGTCCTCAAAAAAGAATGCAATCTTCAGGGCATGGATCAAACTATTTGATGCAAGATGTTACCTTCATGAGCAGGGCGATTGTTTCCCAGAGCTGGTGCCATAGTGATGTCTCTCTGCGTTTCAGTTCGGCTCCTTCTGCACATCTTCGTTTCGATTGCCTACAAAATAATACAGATCTGGAATGTCCTTTTAACAGAAACGCATTCAGGACATTAGATTCCAGAGTTTTAGCGCATGCACACGCTATGACGGTGACATGAACATTCCAACTCCATTGAAAAGGAAAGTTTTCACAAGGAAGCACTAGTTTTTTCTAAGTTTTCAAGTGTAGACTCAAGGTCAGAATACAACGATAGTTGACGTGGCTTTGTCGTCTGTTGTAAATATATTCAACAGCCATGTGCATCCAGAAAGATAGTTCTTAGTCAACTATAAACCATACACTATTATAAGATAATATTAAGATCTACAATATCCTGAATACAAGCTAAGTAGAGACGGATTTATAAGTGATATTGAAATCGGCATTGAAAGAGCCGGAGAAATGCTGAAGTGCAGGTTATTTTGAACGTTAAAGCATGATAGTCATTAATAAAGTAAGCTATGACAGAGATATTTGTGTGGTTTTCTTCTGCTGAAACGTTCAATATACTAATTTCTCCTTGCATGCCCTCTTGCATGGTTGGTGAATCTTAGCACCCTGGAGAGAGTTGCTGGCTTCAAACTAATCTAGGTATTGACGGTAGCAACTGATTTCGGTTTGGAACTTGTACAAAGGCAAACACCTGTTGAGTTGTGAAAGAGCTTTTAGCTCTTATTATTATGATATCGACAAGGGAGAAGGACAATCGGAAGGGTTGGCCTAAGTTTCACGTACAGAGTTGATTCAATGCCGCACCTTCTTGAAGACAGCTAGAAAGCTGAACCTGCTGTGTGCGTCTCAAGTTCGTTCTGGTAAGTGTTATGCCATTCTTAGCCTTACACTAAAATATACAGATATGTTAACTGTCTAACTTCAATTTTTGACCTTGATTGACAGCTGAGGTAGTATACTTGACAACTGAAGTTCATGCGGGAGATAAAGACACAACATGTCAAACATTCGTAACCCGATGTGTTTGACATGTACCAAAAGTTTCGTCTAACCAATGAACGAGCATATCAGATGTCAAAGGGGTCATTTGATATCTGAGATGATCTTTCCACTGACGATCGATATCGATAGGGCCCTTCATGATTTATAAAGTTTCTGCATCTACGAGATGATTGTAACTGCGTCTGAAAGCGTGATAGGCAGGATGTAGGAATTATGAAAAATCAGTACTAAGTCTTCCTGATAGTCTTGACAGAGCAAATCTCATCACAATCTATGACGTAACTTAGACCAGATCTCAATTGTTGTTCTCCTTAACAGGAAAGCTAACATGATAAGTACAATCGAGTTGCCATTACTTACTCTACTGTAAATGAGCATCGAAAACCACGTCAAACAGTAAAAAGGTCCTGACATTTTCTGCTTGCCTGCGAAAATCTCTGATTTTACCTCAGAGCGTAAGATACCAACAATGCGAAAGCGGATACAGTGTAGTGAGAAAATAACGACACTGGATTGGGTTAGTCGCGTTGCTTACAATTTCAGAAGGTGGTGACAAAAGTTACCGTATTGTTCCACAGATTTCAAAGGAGAGTTCCAATACTCTTGTCATTTAGACTTGAAGCACAGATTGATCGAAGTGGGCACTTAAAATGGACGTTGCTCTTGAAGGGTTGCTCTTGAAGGGTTCGAAGTACAACATCCAGCCCACAAGAATCGAAGCTCCACTTCGATTCTTGTGTAATGGGCTGGATGTTGTACTCTATGAACATCAGAAGCACATAAAAATAAAAGAATTTATAGTGGACCATCGTGTACATGCAGCTGACTGAGGTTTTTTAGTGCTTTATTTTATTTCTTCTATTCAACCTACACATGGCTCGAGAGTTTATCCAACATTTCCGTGCATACAGCAGCCCGTTGTGCTTTATTGCTCTCTAATGTTCAGAATGAGTCTATTACACTTTTTGTTCTCATTCTGTCAGCTGATATAATCTCCATCATAGGCAGCAACTTGATGGCTCTAAGGAAATACGAGTTGGTACCAGAAACTACAGCTGCCTGAAAGAGAAATCTTGTTCAGAATATGTTCCTGCTAAGTTGTCAGGAGTGAAAATCTCAAGCTGGAACTAATCCCAAAGCTGAACGTTGTAGAGAATAAATATCCTGGAACTAAAGAATTAAAAGACCATTGCAGTTGTAGTGGTCATCTAGTTTATCGTCAGAAGTCCTGTCTGTCTCACTATCTATCCCTACAATTATAAGCTATGGCTGTCTTTCAGAATAGCATCAAAGTCAGGCAGTCAGAAACATCCATATATACATATTCCGTTAGAGCCTCTGAGCCGATAATTCTTCAATGCCCGGTTCCTAGTTGAAACCCGTGACTACCTAAAATGGTTACCTACAGGAGATGAAGGCTTCCAAAATAGCAACAGACGATCACAAGCAATCAGAAGATGCCAGTATAAAAGTCAACCAGTAAATAAGGGGGCTCCTGCACGGGCTTTGTACGATCAAACCATGATCCTTCAAGTTCTCTCCACAAAGTTTGAATCCAAGAAATACAGCACTATAATCTAGTACTCAGAAATTCAGGGTCAAATGTTTGACTACATATTAGTCATCACCACCATGAAAAGTTTTGGTTGCCTGTATCTACCCCGCATGAAATGAGTAATTAGCTCTCGGTGTCTGGTGAGAGGTGTCACGTTTGTAGAAATCCTGGGTTTCATCCATGAAAAGAAAGGAATGTAGAGATTCTTCCTGGGCTCCATAGCAACGACAAGCAAGAACCTTATAAGCTTGACGATTCTCTTCGAAGTCACCGGATGAGTTCTTCTCACTGACTTCAGCGAGAATAGAACGAATGTGACGCGAAACACAATGTATCCTGCCATCAGCAGAATCAGTCTGAATGGAAAATCTCAGATCGAGGGGCATCAACTGAAGTCCAGTTTCAATATTTTGTTACATTCAAATGCCTGTTCTAGTGGAGGGGTGCGAACAATTCACGAACTTCCAGAACAGCTTTCAAAGTCTTTGATGTTGTTGCTTATATTACGCTTCGATAGAGACTAAAAACGGGGTAGAAAGCGGGTGCCCCTAGATCTACAATCAAACCTCGGCCCATCTTTGGCTGCTGTAGTCGGCCATGACTTACGAACTAACGATTCCTATGTTGGGCTCAGTGAGATCTGTCGAGAAGATGGAAGCAACTTGACATGCAAGATCAAATAACCAGATGGAATTTGTACAAGGCTACAGAAAATGCGTATGCATTACCTCTTGATCGTTCTGCTTAGTGCGATCCCTGTTCTTTGCTTCTCCAAAGGATATGTCAAGCATGACAACGTGAAAACAGTCGAGTTTTAGGGAAGCTCAACCTGACTAGGTCGAGCAATATCCTCGTACAGACGAAAGTCTTCCGGAGCTCATGGAAACTCTTCACGGCTATGATCACCAATCAAAGAGGCGGGTGCACAGATTACGACGATGTTTACAGCATCTCCTTCATTGATGATCAGAGCCAAGAAGGCATTTACACGTACAGGAGTGGATCTGATGATCTTGGTCTGTTTAGTGACAGCTATTGATGATCAAATGTTTTTACACAACTTTCGAGACAAGGATCGTCTCATGACAAGCGTGTACTAAATTGTTCACTTCCAACGTAAGAAAGCGTCCTAGATTGATCGGATGTCGAAGCTAATTTGCCCTCTACATCTCATCACGCTAGGGGTGGCTATTGGCAAACTTCACTCGTCTTCCGCATCTGCTACCTCTCGATGAAACGGGTTCGTCAGACTGGCTTCTAGAAAATGGGTCTACCACTGGATTTATAGTCTGCATGTACACTCTGATTGGGCAACACAATCTCATCTACTGCACATATTTTACTACGCTGAGTCAGACAGGTGATTAAGGAGGCACCTCAGACCACCTCTTAATACTCCTACATCTTGAATGGCTACAGAATACTAAAAATTTGAATCTTAGTGGTTGAACTAGAAATTGTATAAAAGTCACCAAATAGTTCAAGCAGATGTGTGATGGTTTAAGAGAGAAAAGAAATTAGTTCTAGAGTTGGTTACAGAACAGCCCTCGTGTGGAGATTATGTTGTTCCAATTCTATGCAGTCAGAATCTGACAACTGGGGTGCAACAAGTTTAGAGAAGCTCGTGTCTACCGGCAGATCGAAGGGTTAACTCACATGGAGCATTATAGGGTCGCACCAAACTTCGACTATGAAACCCTAGATTACACTTTAGACATCAAGTGGATCACGTACGATATGAATGCTTCACAGACCAACGAACTGTTGATACGCAACTTTACACAACTCAAACTTCTAAACTGGCTAAGTCATGCTTGTCTTATCACTGCATATGTCTCCTGTCAGCCCGCGAGCCACTCAGCTCCACGTACCTGACGGGGGCGTCAGACACTTAGTGGCTACAGTGAAAAACTCGTAGAAATAATTCAACGCTTATATAGAACTATGGACTGTCCACTGCAGAATTGCGCATTAAAAAACACTTCCGTGTCGAACCACCTACAAATAAGTGCTTGTGTTCGCAGAGCATAGAATTGTGTGATTCCGCTCAGTGGTGCTTGGTTAATCTCTGTACAGGATGTCTTGACCATTTCGAATCCCCAAAAGCAAGGAAAAGTAAGGAGCAATCCCATCTTGTTTTTTCTGGCCTTTCGGAGATATTTACTGTCGAGTGGCTTGCATTCAGCGGACAGGGTTTGACCTTGGCCTAAAGAAGACTACATAACAATTGTGTACAGTACAGACCATCTCCATCTCGCACTGCAGAATAATGTATCCATTCCGTGTTTACCTACATGTAATAGTTGTTGATTGCCGAGTGCAAGGTTTTGAATCCTTGTATGCTTCGAGACCCTAGATCTGGACATTTCTCGACATCCCGCGTATAATATCTGGACCCTAACATCGTAAGTCTAAATCTGAATCGCATCCAGTCGCATGCTCTGACTAGGCATGAGGGTGTAGACTGTACATGTCAGAGATCCAGCAGCTGGAGCTGCAAGCTGGAACTTGGAGCTTCTTCCATCTGTTCAAGGAGGAGTAAACCGCATGTTGCAAGATCTGGTCTTCGGTTCACCGAGCTGTGTAATAGCTTGCCCGGTGGCAACGATGTGTGGAAGGGATTGTTTCGTCTGCAATTTTGCAGATCTTGAAGACTGCGAACCAGGCGAGTCAACACACCACATGCGCAGAATCTCCATAGAGAACAGGTTTTCTTAACTAATTGTGTGTGTGAGTGTTGTTGGGTCTTGCCTCTCCGCCCCATGTGTGCATTCTGTGCATTAACTGTTGATACAGACCATCTTTCCTCCATTATTTGCTCCCCGGGTACAACTCTCTACAACTCTCTACTGCGCTTGGTAACTGATTGACTGGGCCCGTCAATCAGCTGCCGAGACCACGTCCAGTCACTCAGTTACCCAACGGAATTGTACCATTGCAGAATATTTTACAACATGCGATTGTTAAGACCACAAACTGCTACATGAGGTCTGGAGAATAAAATTTCCGTGCAGGAATATAAGTAGTTCAACATTCTGATGATTGTGGATCATTTGATCAGCACATTCTTTGTTGGATGGTCATTCACTTTGCGTTTGATGCACGTGTTAAGATTCACTTTTTAAGTGTAGGAGTCTACGTACATTATGAAGGATCTATATATATTCTTCTAGATCTAATTCTGCATTCCAGCTCCATCAATGTGTAGTAAAGTGATTGCCATCTGTTAAAATCGGATACATCAAGGAGTGCAGATAAGGGCTTCAGATATGTGAGATCTGAACATATGACTGCAACTAGATGCACACTTCTCCACTCCCTGAACCGTTAGTACAGCTCTGTTAGGCAAGATAAAGAAGTTATTTATGGAGTCCCGGGTTCAGGCTAGGCGCCAGTATTTATTAAATAGCAATCCACACAGTCTTCAGAAACATCAAAGCTGCTCCGACGTCTGGCTGGTCTTAGTCTATATGCTTCCGCATAAAGACTTCCACAACTCAGAATTATCCAGAAGCCATTTTCATCATCCAATTGTCTGTTGATGCTGCAGTTCCACGTTGCGAAGCGGTCAATGCCACGGTAGCCGTCGAAGATTCCCAGCCATTCTAGATTCAAGCCTAGAGGATCGGTGTTAGTAACCTTGATGCATAACGATGGAGTGATTTTTACAGTGTAACATAATTTTTGGGGATGTGGGATGAAGAAGAGTTTACACCATTGTAAACTCTGGTTGGAGTTGTCCATAGCACGCATCACTGACAGGCAGATTTGCCCTTGCTTTTTGTAGATCTTTTTCACTGTTGGCTGGCATATCCTCATGAGTACTGTTGGATGTAGAAACTTTCTTCTCCTGCACGTACTGTGTATAAGTAGCTTGCTTACAGGCTGCTCCAACAATCGTTGTGCAGGCAAGGCAGGAATACAGGAAACACGCGCAGTTTCTGGATCAGTAGCTAGTTATGAAAGTCCGAGAGATTTGAGATAACATGAATACACGTGATTTTTCAAGGATCAGTGTGCGGAATCTAGCTGCTCGGGAGTTGGGAAAATCATGATTGTTTACTAAGTTCTAGATCTTAAGAATGTAGAGCCTACAATGCTCATGGAGGCTAGTTCGATGTTTGGCTTGCTTTCCTACTCTAGACTCTAGACTCCTTCTCTAAATTAGTCCTGGCTTGCGGGCATACCTTCTCAGCACTCCTGCTTATTTGGCCTTAAATGATACCTTGCGTTCTGAAGTAAGTGGGGAGGTGGCAGACCTTCTTAGGGTGCTCATTTCATATAGATCTTAGAACTCTGAACCCTCTGTCCTCTTCCATCACCAGCGTCCGGACTACGTTCACCTTCGGTAAAGGGCCACAAGTTTCTGCATCTTAGAACGAACATTGCGTGCTATTATCTCCTTAAAATCGATCAACGATCAAATATCTACAGTCCGCTCAGTATGTGGATGTAATTTTGAGAACCGGCTGATGCTGTGTTACGGAGATCACGTGTTCAGTGTTTATCTACCGACTCAAAGGAAGACAGAAAATTAGTTGAAATCATAGGAAGTCCTTTCTAACCTGACTCACCCACCGATCAGAGTTTTAAAACTCAATTCCAGCTCTGTCTTAACGTCGACCTCGTCTGGAACCAGATTCAGCCATCAGGGTTTGGGTGGTTTGGGAATGATTAGTGAACGTCACGTACTTACAACATATGCAATGAAGCCAGGCTTCTATGCCTTGCCTTGATCGACTGAGAGGATCGAGTTTCAAAGCCCAAGCACGGTGGTTGGTGTTCATACTAGGCTCACAGATCATGGACAGTTTGACACACCGCGTTGAGAACATTTCATGGCAGAAGTCAAAATGATTCCGTCCACAATGCACGCCATGGAGGCACATCATGTTCTCCTCCTACCTTGGTTCAAAACGAGGCTCACAGTACATACATCAGCTCTCTTCTCCAGCCGCCCGCCACCATCTCTGTGAATCATCCAAGCTTGCGGACGATGTCGAGTGGATATTTGATCCATATAGCGAGGGAGGTATTACTGCGGGCGATGACAGAAGCCAATTTGCGAAACACGATCATGCTTTTGTCAATGATACCTTGTTCCTCGTCCTTCTCATCGACAGTGACCCACCCACCAGCCAGCCAGTATGTAGATCAGCGTTTTTGGGCTAATAAAAAGTGGACCACTGTATGTCGAAGTCCGCCAGTAAATTCTTCCCGCAGATTGTCCGCCAAATGAAAAGGCTGGAGACTTTGGGTCAAACCCATCTGGCGAATACATCTTCCTGTTCTTCGAGTGTGTATGCACGATGCATCTTCGAAGGGGTGCCTACTCACCGTCAGCTGCACGTGACGACGTGGCCACGTTAGGAATTGTCCACCTTCGATGATGCCGTTGTGTTGTGTTGGTCTGACGGTCCTTCTTTCCTTTGGCGGCTGGGCACTTCAAGATCTGTGTCACATTATCTATTACGTACTGAATTGTACCACCCTGTTCCAAAAACTCAATCCTTCTCGTTAATCCAAGCAAAGCCATTCAATGCAAATAGAACCCACTCCTTACAACCTATGCTTTTGTTACATAGAAGGTGTAGTAAGTTTAGATTTTTTCCAAGTACTATGATTGTTAATAAGTAATGATGTCAGAGAATGTAATACTACGTATTTTCTTTCAGATCTACTTGAAAAAGAATTTTTTTATTGAGGAAGTATTGGTTACTTGTAATCAAATTATGATGTAATTGCTGGAAGATTTAAATTCAATACAGATCCGCTTTTATATGAAATTATGTTATTATTATATTTAAAAATTTGTTTGTATCAAGATATAATATTGATAGATAACATTATCGTATTTTGCGGTAGCCATTGTGATTTTATTGAAATAATTTTTCAATGTTTCTAAATAAATTCAAAACAAGAATATCAATCTTTTCAATGATCTAAATTGAATAATATGTTAATATTGATAACATTAAATTAGTTTTTAATTTAGATGAATTAGATGCATAAATAGAAATATTTAATATTTAGACTCAGTACCAAATTTTTCTTAAAAAGATTGAACTTGATATAATATGAAATTATGAAATTTTATCTTCAATCTGATAAATTTGAATGAATATATCATTCTTAATATGCCTACGATTGTAAGATTAGTGATAAGACTTCTTTTGTGTTTTGCAAATTTAGATTTCGTGACAGAGAAGGAAATCATCATTGACTACAAATAGATATAAAAAAATTTGTTGCACATGATATTGGGACATGAAGATTGTTTTTTTTTTTCCATTCAAATTTGAACAAATCTTGTTTAAGAAAATTAAAAGAGTTACTCCTTATTATTCAAACCTTAGACTTTTTCTTACTAGTAAATTATGCAAACGTAATTCACAATTTCTTTCAATTAAATACTTTCATTGATTCGATCATTTCTATTAATTTTGATAGTCGATAAGAAAAGTTGATTATTAGATTTGATTTTATCTTAAGCGTAGTTACATTCAAAAACGTATTGCAACAAATTATGAATTTCATAAATTTGATAAATTTTGACTCATAGCATATGCCAAACTAAAAATGCCACATTTTCAGATATTTACAATATAATCATAAATTATTTTTTTTACTGTGCTTAAAAGTATTCTTGAAAGTCACTTACACAATTTGTACTTATGTTCCAAAGCAGATTTGCAATAAAATTTAAATTTTGAAATAAAAAATAGAAATTGAAGCTGTCAAGATTTATGCAATGATGATTTGAAACTTGACTATCAAATAAAAAATATGAATCATATGACTCATATGAAATTGTATACAAAACAGATTTATCTTAATAAAGTAAATAAAAAGCAAAATAAATTCATAATTTTTTTCTAAGCGAACGGTACAAAAAAACATGTGTGAATTACAAAAAAAATTATGAAAATTTCAAATTTAATTTGCAAATGCTTTTTATTTTGACAAAAAATCGACTAGTTTATTAAATTTCAAACAATCCTAGAGATTAAATATTAGATCAGGTCAGCATATGCAAAATATGGAATGATTTGAAGATTTTTATTTTTATATATTTTCCTACAAGATTTCATTATTTAGATTGGACATAAAAATCTACAAATCAAACATTACATAAACCTTTCAATCTAATAATATTTAAATTTAAAATTTAAAATTTAAAATCTAATAATATTTAAATTTAAAACGAATCTAGAGCTATGATTAAACCCATAAAATATTTTCACAAATAGATAAATCAATTTTAATTTGTTGAAAGTTATTGTGAACTTGAGATTCATTTGTTTAACTGTTCAAAATTCAATGGATTCATAACATAGTCTTTAAAAAGTATTTGAATACTGATCAATAATTAATTTTACTTCAAGGACAACAAATGCATACACTATTCTACTTCAAAATCCAAAATTTTAAAAATAATCTCAAAATGTACGATTACTTTATTCATTATTTTACCTTATAATTTTGAAATTTTTTCGATTATGATTTTACTTTAGAATTTGTGAAAATTTTGTCATCAATAATTTAAATTTAGTTTTTTACGAAATTAAAAAAATTACGTAATTACGTAATTTTTTTTTATATTTTGATGTTTGAGATACCGCAACATATAAATTCAATGAAAAGAGTGAAAATTATGGAACTAAATATTTTTTTTTTGAATTTAAAAATAAGAAACTAAGGTATGATTGCAATTAATTTTGATTTTACAATTTTACTTAATAAATTCAATCGAAAAAGAAAATTCCCCCTTTTTGAATGATTATGAAGTGTTTGTTTAGCATGTCAAATATTTCGAAATACTAAAGTAAAATGAATATGCATTTCATTAATTATAATAAATATGATAATTATAAAAAATAAGTTTGTGTTTGATTTAATGATTTTTGTCTAAAAGTAACAGGGCTTATATATCAATTTTATTCATTCAAAGATATTCAAAGATTTCTTTTATGAAAAACCGAGGATAATTTCAATAAGATATGTAAATGTATAATTTTATGTAAAATTTCGTTAATTGTTTTTCTTATGTTACTTTTGGAATTTTTTTACATGTTAGATTTTTGAATTTGAATTGTAACAATTTCAAATCTGGCAGAAATTGCAAGAATTACTTGAATCAGAATTACATTTATGTAGTATGGAAATTTATTCTTAACTTGAATATTGCAATTTCAAAATTTTAGACATGAAGCTTGATTGAACATGATATTTTAGATATTATAAATTTACAATAATAACACATTATATAGATTTCTATTCACGATACTGTATAAACGTAAAATCATTTTCTTAAAAATATTGATATCAAAATTTGAAACATACTACATAGTCAAAATTAATGGATCTTTCTTTCAACTATGATTTCAATATCAAATTACCTAACTAGTTTTTCTGTGTAATTTTTAAATTTGTTTTAAAAGCTATTTTCATAGCACTTCTCGTGAATTCTAATTTTTGAATTCTAATTAAAAAAATTAGAATTCAGGAAAGAAGTGTATTTTTTCTACAGCAATTTTTCGTAAACGGATTTTTGGAAAATATTAGCTTTTAAAAATTAAATTATTTGAGATAAATTATTGAATAATTAATAAATTCAAATAGAATTTTTTTCAGAAATTTTTTTTCTGGATAAGCCGATACACAGAGGTATTGAAAGTCTTTAAAACTTAATTCAATAAGTATTTATTATATCGAAATTTAAGGAAATTTTTTTATAGCAATAATAATTTTATTTAGAAGTGAAGATATTATTCCTATATAATTAATTAAAGAACCAAAAGCATTTACTGATTTTTTTTTGCTTTTAGTTTTTGGCTAAATCACAGCAGTTTCAAATTTGAAAATATTTTCAATCTGATTAACTTGTATATTTTGTCATATATTGGAGGCAAATTTTTTATAGTGAATATTTCAATATTGATGATTAAAGATTGAGTGAGGCATAAACTATGGAAATATAATCGTATAAAATCATGTATTAAATCAAATGAAAAAATTGACCAGAGATTTGTATTTGGAAACTTCTCATTCAATTGACATTTTTAATTTTCTATAATCTTTCTAATTACATCTGATTTTTATGAAGATATGCATTTTAAACAAATATATACTTAACTCTTAAAATATATTTAAGGGTTTACTGTAGTGCAAAATTCATATGAACGTATCTTAAATTCAAAATTTTTCACCTAGTAAATATATAGATGGTTTTCTTTTACTATTTTACACCTATGTAGAAGCAGCATTGATTCAATTTAAACTATTATATCAAAACTAGTGTATGAGTTTCAGATTTCAAAATTCATTATTATGATTTGAAACATTATTATATCTGAAGGTCAATAAAATTTGATGGAGTAATACAATAACAGATAAATGCAGCGCATTGAATGCAAAAACATTATAGTACATTATTTCCTAGAGAGAAAAAAAAAGATCATGAACCGAAATCTGTTTATCTTCAACTTAAATTTCAGTATATTCATGTTTCTCACTCTCGGAAGCTTTGAGATGAGAACATCACTGACTGTGTTCAAACAAGAGTTGAAATTACAATTTCTTTAGATGTTAGCAGTACACATCACAAGACATGATTGCCTCATACCTACTTGTTGCTGTAATATGCAACATTAGTAGATACTGTATTTTCCAAAGCTTAGCATCCCTCTGACGATGATTCCTATCATGTGATTCCGAAGCTATAGAGAGCAGTCTGATAGGATTTCCACAGCATGTGTTCGTGAAGCTCACTAATCTAACATTGTGCTAGCTTCTGGTAGTAGTATCCGACAGGATGATGCATTTCCTAGTGTAAACATGGGGCCATTCGTTTGAAGCTGCATACACAAATTTCACATTCTCGGATAATGAGAATGCGTGTGACACTAAAAGACGTGTCAACTTGTGAATTTGTATACACTGTGTCATGTGGATTCTCGTTGAGTTGCAATAAATTTTGTACTAGAGTTTGAGTTGACATAGCTGAACTTGAATGCCTATTCTAGTATTAAAAAGGGTAAAGTTGCAAGCCTGGGGAATGGTGAACAATTATCACTTTCTCTTATCCTCATGCGCTTCGATTTGAAGATTTGTCTGGTATATTCCAAGGGCCTACGTTCGCAAGTACGAGCGCTGACGAAATGTTGAGGCAAACCACTTGGGTATGGATGATTCTCCACGGCATCGCTCGAGGGCACTCTTTCGAAGAACAGGTGCTTGCGATTTCATAATGAGCCTCTAACTTTTCGAAACTAATCGGTTCGCCTGTGGCTGCGGAGCTCTGGGCTTTCAGGATTCTCTTCGGGCACGTGCTTGTAGGTGATCGGAAATGAAGGACGATCGATGAAGTTGAGGCAGCTTCTGAAATTGAGATCATGTGTTGTCTCCTTTGGCAATAAACAAATGTGATCATCTGTTGACCAAAACTCATCCACATGTTCTCGACTCAGCTTTTGATCGTGATATGTGGCCAATCAACAATGGTTTCCATTCATCAGCATGATCATCAACTGCAGGGGAGTAATCAAGTCCCAGTAAGACGTATTAAAACAATGAATGACCTTCGAGTTCAGCAAATTGACGTCCGGAAAACAAACATTCCATTTCTCCCGTCGGCTTTCTGTGATGCTCGCTCGCTTAAGAACATGCTAGTGTTTCATAACACGCGTGATCCAAGTTGTTCCATATCAACTGGCTCTGTGACAGCATAGTCGAATTTATTGTAGCCTGATACGTCCAGATCGTCCACATCTCTGAGAAATAGATTGATCAATCGATCGATCTTACCACATGGACGGACACATCTTGCCCTTTCCTGAATACACTTAGAGTCTGGAATTCGCGGCAGGCGTTTATGAGTTGATTAATTGATTTATACTCAACCAAATGAAATTAGATTCGCCGGCGTGCCGGGAAATACATACTACATGTTCATATTATGCAATTTAGACATAATACATGTTCATACTATGCAATTTAGACATAATACATATGCAATTCACAATTCACGACCGGCCCGCCCCTGAACTATTGACTATTGGCTAAAACCATCTTATTCTGGGCTTGCAATTTATTGCACCTAAACCCAAACTAAAGATGCTAGACGAAGGGATCGAACGAGAGGAACTGGAACTGAATTTTCCTCCCACTCAGTAAAATTTATAATCTGAGACCGCCGGCAGATGTATTTAGGATTCAAATTTGAGGTTGGATTTGAGGTTGAGGATGAGCTGATGGGTAAACTACCGTGTTCAGGACGGCGATGTAGATGGTTTCGACGAAGAAAAGAATGATGCACATGCCAGATAAGCCTTTGAGCTTGCCCGCCAGCTCTCCGCCGACAGAAGATTGTTTACAGGCGAAGCCGAAGATGATGAGACCGAAAGCCCAAGCCACCAAGGCCAAGCTCAAAGCCACGGCTGAGCTGATCCAACTCTCAGTCTTGCCCATTGAGAAGCTTGCCCCGGCGATTGCAGCCGCCAGCGCCACGGTCCCCGCTGGGATGGCGTAGCTCATGAGCGTGGCGCTCACCTGGTTGACAACGATGACTTTGGTCGGTGAGAACGCGTCCTCGAACGCTGCACCTGCCAATCCGATGATGATGAGCGCCAGAAAGAACATGGGGATGACGACGATGCAGACATGGATCCTCTGCAGTCCGCTCGACGACATCTTGAAGCTTCACTCCAATCTGTTCAAGTTCAATCAATCAGTATACTCGGTTAGGATATTTCACACAACTGCCTGCACTGCACGGGTTGGGAACCTGACTGATCACACAACTGCCTGCACGGGTTGGAACCTCACCGATCACACAACTGCCTGCACGGGTTGGAACCTCACTGATGGCTGAGCTGGATATCGAAGCCGAGGATCACTTTTGTTCGAAAACTAAGAGCAATCGCGTGCAGGTTGATCCAGATTTCAGAGCATGAACGAGTTGGAGCACGAAGAGGAGGAGAGGAAAGCGTTATGGACGTGGAGGTTTTAAGAAAACCTTGCGATGTGAATTCTAAAGGATTGTGATGCACTGCTCGGCGAAGACCGAGGGAATGTTATATAGGGAGAGAAGGGCGATGTAGCGTGCCTATTCTGATCCAGTGGCACCGAACAGCACTATTCTATTCTCGCAGTGACGAGTTTGCCGGATTGTGGTGACGGCTTTGCCGGGTGCTTACAATCCATGTTCTGTATTCAAAGTCAAGCCTCCTACAGTCAGCAAATCGCCTCGCCATCCATTAGACCGATGCAGCGTAAGTAATGTAGGTGCGCTCTTGGCCAATTTTACCCAGGGTAAACAACTGGCACATTATCACATTGTTGCACTTTTCAAGCGACTTCTTTTCTCCAACTGGCAACTATATCTCTGGGTAGAACTCCATTCCCTAGAGTCATGCCAGGAGTGTTAGAGATTCTTCCACTGTTGGTATCAGCTGGGACTCTTGGCTGTGCTTTTGTTCGGCATGCAGGGTTTTCGTGCCTCATCCCGCTGCTGCAATCCTGTGAGCTTTCATGTTAGTCATGCCTTCTTTTTGAACTCCTCCTCCACCATGGACTTCACACGAACGTAACACTGACCTACAGTAGATTCATGTGTTTATATCGATCACTTGCTGACGCTGTTCCATCGAGAGGTGTATGTACAGGAGAAAAGGGTGGAATCTGAGAGCAGTCTCGTTGACCAGGTTGACAGCACCAGGAAGTGACTTAGAAGCAGGAGAGCAGGACTCGGATGCTCCCGGCAAATGTGGATCCTATTAAGCCACAAACTTCTCTCGCAGCTCAGGACTTGGGTGCAGGATTTCGCCGGCGCAAGTCCACAAACCTTTGCCGGCGAGTCGAGCGTTGAATTGTGTCGTCACGAAAAGCGAGCAGCGGGCAAATATTTCAACGAAATTAATGTCCCCGTTCGCGAGGGGATAAACATCCGAAGTCACAGCGTTGACTACTCTCTATCTCACTCCAGGCTTCGAGCAGGATCTGACTGCGATCCGATTCTCCCGCTTCTCATGGTCAAGCTGCGGGCAAGTCCGCGGAGCTCAACCACTTGCAGCTTAAGCTCCGCAGCCAGATTCCTTGTTCGGTACGACAAGAAGCATATACTTCTATTAACACGAATGATAACATACCTTCAATTCAATACATGCAGCACAGCCCTCGTTCTCCCCTCAGTGCGCTTTCCCAGCATTCGGATTCCGATGTACACGATGTTGTTCGAAATTTAGTGTTCTCTCTTTTTTGATACACGAGTTATCTTCTTTAGTAAACTCCCTTAGTCACTCACTAAGATAGTTTACTATATAGAGGGTAGAGCCTGTCCAAGTTAATATTGTGAGTTTTGTATTAATTTAGACAAGTTCTAAATTAATACTCGTTCAGGTTGGACATGTTCTACTGTATTTCTTGTTTGTTGATTTCTAGTTAGCGGGAGTTCCCACGTCATGCTTCAGTGAGCTGATTTTCTAACAGATGTAGCCTTTAGCGCTCTGGGTCGATCATCACGTGGACCATCATAATCGACTCTTGAGAGCGTTTGAAGATGGGCCCATGGAGATGGAGATCCCATGAACGTGACTCGACCGGACGATTGTCTGAAAAGCTAGAGCTTTGGCTGGTGTGTATTTTTAGAATGGACCTTTGTGGGCAATCCTGTGTGTCCGAATTACGACCCCAAAGTCTACTTTGCGTACTCTTTTCAGTGGCTCCAGTTTACACGTAAGACGACAACTATACCTCCTTGGGCTCCATGAGGTGGTGCTGATCGGTGCATTCGGTGTTGTTCTTGTGAACATTTTTCTTGTTTTTTAAACCTTAGGAGGCCATTATAATTATGTTATTTAAGCCAAGTTATTAGATAGACTTATTTTTATTATGTGTACAAAAAATAGTGTATTTCTAGGAAAATTGAAAACATTAACTCGTAGTTATTGTTAGGCAGTATGTACATTCAAACTTAAGATCATTGTTGATAATAGTTGAGGAATGTCAGAGTAAGTAAGTAAGAGAGTATATACATATAAATATATATATACACACATTATTTTTCTATTTTTTAAACGAAAATACTTCATAATTTATGGACATTCATCTCTTGTGTTACAAAGCCATATTTTACAAATCGCTTTGTAACACAATAAACATTTCTGAGGGAAACGGATAGTAATGAGGTTATTCAAGCTTAGTATCTAACAAAAATTTCGAGATAATAATTTCTGAAGCTATAGTCGAATGAAAAAATAATAATATTATGCTCAAATAATCATTTGAAAAAACTTCAAGATTCTAATTTATTTATTTCGCATATTAATAACATTGTGTAAAAATCTGATTAAAATATGAAAAAAATATAAACTAGAATTTTTTTTTATGTTGTGTTATATTTGATCTTACATATAAACATGTTTATCTAAAGAGTGTATTACTTGAACTAAACTCTTAAGTGCATATTGATGTTCATACCAAAAGAGTACAAGCATGTTAACAGGAGATGTCACAAATTACATTTGAAGGAGATTTTATGAATATAGAATGAAAATGTCTCTTATGTGTAAGACATCTTCTACATGTCGAATATCCAATAAATATAGTAGCAATCCATATTATTTCTTGGTGATATTTAGTATTGCTAAACCCTTAATTCAACAGCGCTAAAATTTCATTATCCTTGTAACTAGATGTAGCATTTCCTTTGCTACGTAGCAAGATGAAGAGCAATTTCGATTGTCTTCTCCATCAGCAGAGCTATTTCTCTTGAATGAAGAAGATGTAGACATAATATCGAAACAAAATTTATTCTCCAATCTTCAAAGTGATACGCAGTTGCAATATGCAATATTGAAATCGCAGAAACTGCTACTGGACTGAAAGCGTGTGATGAAAGCGCAGAGGCCTTCATCATGTAACTGTCACACATGCTCATCATCATTGGAACAAATGTCCGGGAGAATAATTAAAAAAAATGTTCGCCGGCTGGTTCGGAGAGGGACTATTATTCCCCGTTGGACGATGAAGTGAGTGCCGGCCGAACGCTCGACGCGCAAAACGGCCGATGACACTCCCGGGGGCGAGGACCGAACGGTGCGCCATTTCACCGCAGGGGAGTTGCCGCCGGCGGGAACGAAGGTCGGCATGTACGCCAGACAGACTGCGGAACAGTGTCGTGGGGTACAGCCACACACCTCGGGATGGGCACGTACCCGGCTAACCTTCGGCTAGCCGATACAAACGGCTAGCCGGCTGGGCCTCAAATATAGCCGGCTAGCCGTCGGGAAATAGGTGAAAATGCAATCAAACGAAATATTCGGTTGATAAATAATGTTCATTGAATAATTTCGGCCGAATTTGAGTAAATAATCGGCCGAAAATGTATATTCAGTCCGATTTTACGGTTCGTTTTCGTTTTCAGATAGAGGTGGCAATATTTATCGGCTAGCCGGCTAACAAAAATATTAACCGACAAGCCATTAGCCGAGCGGCTCGGCTAATGGCATGGCATGGCACACGAAGTCAAGGGCCTCGGGGGGCCGCGCGTTGCATGATTTGGGACCTCGAGTCCTTTGACACTGATAAAAATGAACGTGCCGTATGAAGGGGCCAGTTGGAGCCTGGACAGAGAAGGAGGTCTTCGAATCCGTCGATCGCTCGACGCGTTTCTCGTTCTGCATCGCATCGCACTGCGCCATGGCGAAGATGCCCGGCCAGCCTCGCAGCTTGTCCACCAGTGCTCACGTTCGACGAAGAGCTCCGTCCCTCACTGCGGCACTGCACTGCACTGGACAGCGCAGGGCAGGGCCGGTGCTCTTGCTCGAGATTTCAGCTCTGCCAGAAACTCCGGCAATGATTCGAGTCGCGGCGATGTCTGACCTTTGACGCATAAACTTATCCGACTCGAGTGTCACCGGCGCTCATCGATATGGTCCTTTCGAGATGTGCACATTCTCATCCGCCGTCGGAGGACCTGCTCTCGGAGTGCTTGTTGAATTCAGCAGATTCCACGATCTCATCCGCTTGGGGTTTGGAATCCGAGTGTGGTCAGACGGCAGTTCGTTCAGAGCAACCTTCGCTCTCTGACCTGTTGATGGTCGACTCGGCAACTTCAATCTCTCAGTGCGCGAGAATGTTTCAAGTTCCCTGTTCTGGATTACCAAATTCATGAATAGAAGGGTTTCATTCGCGCCACCACTCTGAAACAAATCCACAGTGCAGAAGTAGAGAGTTCTACTCGAATCTACTTTTGGACTCTCGACAGTAGTCACACTTCGTTGGACAGAACCGAGCTTTTTGTGAGTACTGAAACTCTGGAGAGAACACAGGATCTTACACTCCTTAGGTTCACACAACAATCAATCTCTCGCTCAGTTTGGGACGGATGTCGGATTCATTGGTTTAAATACCGTCCAATGTCTTCTTCTGTCCAGTCGGTATCGGGGATCTACAAGAAAAATGAGTCACTTTCAGTCACTGCATCGATCACATCTTTACAGGTGTGAAGCAGATGTATCGGGACCGTGGCCGGATCTTCAGAAATTCCCGAAGGCCAAGAAACAACCGTCTTGACCCTATTTCACCACTCGGGCTTTGGTCAGCAATTCCACTTTGTCCGAAGTTGCTGATAGAGGAAAACAAAGTTTTAACGGCATTTATCACTCGATGATTGAAAACTTATGGTTATGGTCGATTCAAACTACAAAATTCCTTTTCAGGCCGAAGATATGATGTAATTTTTTCAAAGCTGCCAATCCGAGAGGGCCTTGTCCACAGTAGAGGTGTGCAGATTAGATTCAGTTTTCTGACAGTGGTTCCTTCTTGTCCAATATAACGTATCGCTCTGTTCTCCGTGGAGCCTTCTGTCGTTCGCAATATTTCTTCCCTGCGCAAACTTGCCTAGAGATTGCAGAGTTTCCGAAAAGTGTCGACCTGGCTGGTCATTTTGGACAAGCAGAGTAATATGCTCTCACAAGGAGGAGGGAGAAGCTGAAGCCGTTTCAACACCCATGCAGGAATTTGTCGGCTTCAAATCTCTCCACGTACCCTCAATAGTAGCCTCTTTTGGTTTACCTTAACAAGGTCAGATGAAATGTATCAGCAGGGTGAATTAGGATGCACGCCACTCGCTCGTTCAATCTTGATGTATCTTACACTTGTTCTTGTCCCTCTTATCTGCAGAATTGCAGTCAAAGTTTGTCGAGAGAACATGAGAGTAATCGAGACGCGGAGCTTTAATTAGGAATCCAACTTTCTGGCCGTCTTCCGCAGGTCTGAACATACAGCAGTTGCAAACTGCTATGCAAATCGAACTGAGAAAAGATATCAAGTCGTCTCAACCTTTCCTTCAAAAAATCTTCGGACATATTCTCTCTTATATTTCGAAGTCCTCTCCTCGAGACTCAAATATGTGAAAAGATTATCGCTTGCTTACCAGTTGGAAGAGATTCATACCACTTAGTATCATTGCAGCTTGAAGATATTAGCATGGGTTGAAGAAAATGGGCCGTTAAAATTTATCACAAATGATGACATGATCGGTTCTGCACTCGAAGCATCACAATCTTTGGATTGTGATGCTTACGCAGACTGTCAACAGTATCAGAAACTCCATACTGTTCTATTTTGCTCATTAGAAAATCGAGATAACAAAATAAATCAATGCCTTTGTAGTGGTGAGGCCTCACCAACAACGTTGAATGGTTCAACATCCGCAGTGCTCAAACTAGTGTTGAGATTATCCGTAAATAGAGCCGCATGCGTCGTGGCTGGAATCAGGTGAATCATCGATCCTCGCCTGAAACAGTACACAGACAACCGACCTTTCGTGCAAATCTCATCAGGAAATGCCATGCCCAGAGTTTAATTTCGAAATTGGGTCATTAGGGAGGTAAAGAATGGATGTTTGTAATCGAGACAGTTAGTTAGATTGGTTGTAATAGACGAAGGTTCACAATATTTTCAGTATTTCAGTTGGAATACAGCCTAAAGCAGAAAAGACCAAGACTTTGGAGTACAGCCTAAAGACTGCTCTATATCGGACTTCAAAGCAAAGCTCGATGCAGTTAGAACCTTCAACAATTGCTTGGGATCATAGAGACACAGGCTTCCTACCACAGGTTTTGCATTTACTGTTGTAAGGAGAGTGCCAACAGAGTGGATAATTTCAATGTTCTCCAGAAGGCATCGCACAACAGTTCTAAGGCTGAAGTGCATGACTCTTGAGTGGGGAAAACACAGAGACGATTCTTTGAAGTTAACGGTAGCAGGCTCAAAAAATCTGAAAGCAGAGAAGTAGTAAAAAGATAATGACACCAGTAGAAACCGATTCGACATAGAACATTCATGGGAAGTATATCTGCGCTGGGTTTTTGTAGTTGCAGTGGTGTGTCAAACTCATTGAGTGGACAACATAGAAAAGTACCGCTGCTTATGATGTGCTGGAATAACGTGAGGGACGTATTTATGGGTCCGTGTCTTGCATTGAATTCGGAATTGTAATCTCAAAACTGATTGTTGCTAGTCTTACATAAGCATTCAATCGGCACGAAGATACTGCAGAGAAAGCTTTGTATTAACGTAACCATCAGGACAGAAAGGTCACTCTTCTGAATGAAGCCCACTCAAAATTACTCAGTCAGTCATCTAAAACCGCTGATCGATGTTGAGGGAAGGGCTTTGAATAGAGGTCAAGAGATAGAGAAGCTCTGAGGGATCCTACATACTTCGAATGTCAATCGAATTGGATGGCCTTGGAAAACCTCACTCGAGATTCTGCCATGTCAGAAACATCTCAGTGCACGTGTCAAGCTAGCAGAGAATTCACAACTAAGTGGATAGCAAAAGATCGTTGCTGGCAACGAAGAACTAATCTGGATGATCGATACTAATTCGAAGCAATCAATTCCAAGAGTAGTCCTATGCCCCTTCGTTCGTTGTACAACTTGTTGGCCGCCGCATAGCCAGATCTGAAATTCCCTTAGCATTCCTCCCGGCCTTCTCGACAATATCTACAAGATTACTACGATAAAGTAGAAATTGCTTCAAGCGGTGAACAACGTCGAAACCTCCCGATATGGTCCGAAGTGAAAATACACGAAATCGATCAAGATTAGACGAACTCACCAGCAGTGCAACTGTCACATCGATCATAAAGAGATCAACTTTTCACCTGGATTCCAATTATATCGGTGCTGGCTACCGACCGTCCTTTGGAATCTCGCATCTTGACGTCCATACAGTTTGATCTGATCAGAGGTTGAGTCCTGCCACGAGCTACGAGGCAGGAAGGCACACGTCAAGTGCAGAGGCACAGAGATACACGACACGAATAGTGCGATGATACACAAAGAAAATTCTTGGCTATCTGCTGATACATTTCACCCTGAGTTGAAGGAGTGGTTCTGCTCAAACTGAACTCGCATTACTGATCAAATACGTCATCAAAGAAGAGAATCATGATTTCTCTTATAATGAAGTCTCTGGGCCGACTGGTTCTCATTCCTTCACCACCCTGAGTCCAACACCTCAGTGTACGTTCTACGACCAATTCAGAATCTACAGATTAGGGAATGAGGCACGAAAATGGCCAGAAAAACTACAGTGCGACACAACTGCAGTGAAAATGCTTTCACTTGAAAATAAAGGCTCGACATTTGATTTTAAAATTCACTTAAGTCAAGATGGCAATGAGCTCGTCACACCTCATAGAATAGAGGTCGATACGATTGATGTAAGAATGCACAGGAACGTTCCACTGAAGGATCTCGAACCATGTTCCTGTCACCGTCATCAGGCTTTGAAGCATTCAGGCCGTGGTACCCCATTGCAGTCTTGAAGGTCAAGTACAGGACATATACTACTAAAGTACTGCTAAGAGATTGGAGATCTGAGACTTTTCAGCTTTTCCACTTCATGGCTACTAACCTTTTCGAATCGTTGTGAACAATACTCTATCTATTACCCCTTTCTCAAGTTCTTGAAAGATGAGGTCAATTTTACTGTGACTTCCCTTGTCTTTATTGCAATCTGGCCATGATGCTGTCATTGCATACCAGCTTCGGCAATGCGTGTGTATCCACGCGAGCATGTGTTTCTCTTGCTGTTCCCCAATTTGTTTGGAACACAGTGACAATGTTGACATTCAGAGTCCGGAGTTGACGCATGAGACTCCAGGTTTGTCCATCTCATCTCTGTTCCACGCGTCGTCAGTATGAAGTTTGCCTTCCACATGTGAACAGGCTATGTCGAAGTCATGTCTATGTCCACTAGTTACTACTTCCTGGTATATGACAATGACTGTTGTCCTTGAGCCTTTCCTTTCTCATGTGAACCAAGTACCTCTCCCTTTGATGATCCGAGCAGGGCCTGACAGGTAAACCATTCGGCAGCTCAGGTAAAAGACAGTCTTCAAACTGAAATCTCAGATTGTGACGGTCTACGTTGGCCGTTGACTATCTTGAAGAAGAGTCTTAGAAAAGTCCAGGGAGACCGAAGGCCAGCGTGTGCTTCCCGTCCGCTTGTGACTTACTGATGAAGTAAATCGTAGGTATAACTCTAACTCAACATGGCAGAAAACGTAATCACTTGGGCAGGTCCGGCTGAAATTCTCTGCGTGCTTTCAGCGAGGCCAAATCTAGTGCAGAGGTACTAAATCTCCTACTTGTCACGGCACCGACGAGCAACTGGCCCCTTGGTCTTGATTCTGTAAGTCTTACGCTTAGCTACTGCTCTTCTGAAGTTTCCAGGGTTACCATTAGTCCCACTCCGACCACAAAAACTGAATTTCCGCATTATTGACATCCAGAACCTGTACAAGGATGTACTCCGTGTACGAACTACAATTTTTGCCCGGTTTATTTGTTTATCTCCTCAGTACTCTGTTAAATACATGTGAGACTGAGGAACCTGGTCGGTCTTGGAATGTCTGTGGAAGTCAATCTGGTATTTGGACATGATTCTCTCAAAGATGACAAAGAGGCCTGACCGTTTGTTCCGTTGCAAACATCAGGGCCTGAGCAACTTCGTCTTGACACAACTGGGACTCGTAATGGCATCGGCACTAGCCGTGTATGAAAAGTCCTCGAACATTCAAATAAATTGATCAACATACAATAAATGCCAAGGATGCTCAGTTACAATATTGTTATATGGAAGATGAGCATGCAATTAGCACGAGAGGGTGACCACATTGGGTAGACTGCATTGGGTAAACACACTTCGTCTACTGACTGCAATGCATCCATTCGATCCATCATCCAGCTATCCGTCAATGTATATCGGGTTGGATGCATGCATCTACATGCCCAGCGGACTCAACCGAGCAACAGAATATGATATCCGCAGCTGCGCAGGGACAGGCTTTCTGAGGTAGGTCCCGAACTGTTTGGCCATCGGGAGCCTTGTACGATGATTTTGTCCAAAAAAGGGGCTCACTTTGCACAGGTCTGTCATTCTGGGGATCGATGCCGCTGATGAGAAACCGGGTTCTGATGAAAGTATTATTCTGAGCTTCCTCTTCCTGTAGGTACACCTGCCAAATGCCCTGGCAGTCGCCCACGCTGGAAGGCTACAGCAGACATTCGCAGCGGATTTACGCGTGTGATATACCTCAAGCGGTATATCACACGCGTAAATGCCGTAAGATGAATATATGACAACGCTACTATCTTAAATTTGAGCTGATCGGATGCTCTCGCTTTGACAGCATCGAGGAGAATTCACTGTGGCCGATCTTTCGAGATCACCTCCCGTTTATCGGAGGGAATTTCTAAGAATTGCGGTCACGGGCTTGCTGTTCAGATTTCAGAGAAGGACATAAATCGATTATACTCTCTAGCTTTTCATTTCTTTAATGGATTCGGGATCATACATGTTTCAGACGCCTTGTTTGTCTAAATCATGCCACTGAGAGTGTAAGTATTATAAGCTGGCTGGATTTGAGCTCTTTACCGGTTCAGTAGCATAAATGACATGGTTGGAAAACTATATGTTTCCTCGTAATAGTGCTGTAACCCCAGGAGTGGCAGTTGCTTGTATCGTCTGCATGACGTCAGACAGACCCTGGACGCCAGCTGACCCCCCAAGTTCAGACTGTGCCTAATTTCTGAACTTCTGAATTTCTGATTGCGTTGAGTGTCAATTTGGGTTACCCTACGACTTCCGAAGTATCATGGAGAAAACAGTACAATGATAATGATAATGTGCCCGTAGCAGGATCGAACTTGTGGCACCTTGGCACCAAAATCTGGTTATTATGCCTTTATGCGAGAACATCCGAGCAATATCCGGCGATTGAGAACAGTTTACACATGGAACCAATCGTCTCGCTCCGATTTGTCCCTGTACTGGAGTTGAACTGCACTGGCCGTCACTCCAGTGACGGCCAGTGAAAAAGTGCAGAGTGAAAGATTGGCGAGCTTCATGCGACCAATTATTGGTGGGGTCGAGGCGAGGTATCAGACCTCGCAGAGGATCTATGGAGAGTCCTCACCATGCCATGAGCTGCTTCGGACTGATGGAGAAGTATATTCTACCGAAAGCCTGCCACTCGGTTGTGCATTGCGCTGTACCTCTGTACGGCGGGGAAGGCGAGGGATGGATTCGGATGGATTCCCGTACGAGCAGCGACTGCGTTCGACACATCACAAGCCTGGACTGCAACGCGATTCGTCAGCATTGCATATGATATTTAGCAGCACTTCCGGGTGGCTGAAGCAGGGGCCTCTGGAGCGGTCGAGTCGCCATTGGCGATGAGCCGGGCTCCATTCGTAAGGCGACAAGAGCACCGAGCTACACTGTGTCGCCAGTCGCGCTCGCCCTCGCTTCGGCCCTCGAATCTGCGAGCCCAATTTAAGCTGGTATTGCGAAACTGCTACCCGGCAAATCGGTGCACAATTGCCAGTGTGTGTGCTGTCGTGCCACGAGCACGTGTGCCTCCAAACCAAACCACGCCGAGACGAGCATATTCCTCCCCTCCTGTCCGTGGTTTCAAGGAACCAGGTCTTATCCAGACAATGGCTTTGCAATCGATCCAGCGTCGTTCCTTCCTTGACGTCGTCAGCAAGTCCTTGGGAATTCGATCCGCCATCGATGTGGACAGAGCCCGGCTCATCCGCTTTTCATGACGGTCCGGTCTGCACAGAAGTGCAGTCACCGAGCTGTCGGAAGGTGAGTTCAGTTCGAGCACCTGATGCCTCGAGGACAGAGACAGAGACAGAGAGAGAGAGAGGATGGTGGGGCAAAGGGTTGCTGGAGCCCGCCAATTTGGATAATTTCGCCGTCGACTCGACGGGGAATGGTGACTGTACAATTTCTGTTGCTTCGCGGACAGAGGGAGGGAGGGAGGGAGGGATGCTGGAGAGATGCAATGCTTCTCACAGATTCGGTTGGGCCTGGGCTTGCAGTTGGGTCAGGCTTTATCCGGATTTCGCCTGCAGGCAGGCAGAGAGAGAGAGAGCTCGTACAGTGTCTGTCAGTCGGTGGGCGAGCGCATTTCTATATCACGGGGTCGCTGCTGCTCGCGACTCGACTCGACCTGTGGTCGGTTGATGTGAAAGAGCCCAGCTTGAAGTATGATGGTGGCTGATTATATGAGGCATCGCTGCACAGAAGGAGGAGCATGTAGATCTGCTGTAGGCGTGACTGTGATGTGATTTCCACGACAATTGCGCAGCAATTCTGTGTTGCGCCGTGCCATCCAGCAGCAGCAGCGAGAGCAGCGAGAGCGGCCTTATTAGGCACCTGCCACTGCCGAGCCAAGACCGGGTAACGAGGAGATGAATGTTACACCAGTCTAGCCGATTACGAGCGCAGCGATCGCGACACTTGATTGAAGAAGCTGAGCAGCGAATCCGACTGAGATAGAGTCTTACTCGTATTATCTATCCTCCTCCTTGTCCTCCTGCCTAGTTTCCCCGCCTTCTTTCAGATAGGGCAGTGCACTCTCCGTGCAACCATTCCAATCCAATCCAAATCTCCCAGCTCTCGCTGCTGGGCTCCCTTTCTCCCTTTCTCCCTTTCTCCCTCCCTCTCTCTCTTTTTCTTCTTCAGAATTTCTTCAGAATTTCTTCTTCTCTTCGTCGTTGCCATAGCTTCCAGACCCACAGAATCAGAGACATACAGACAGACAGATAGACATACAGACTGCGGGCAGAGGGTCGGAGCCACATCCTCACAGAGGGCCAGTCTTCAAATTTCTTCGTAGAAATCCGAGATAGCATTCAGTTCCTCTGATTCCATCACCACCCCACTCTCGATTCTTTGCGGGCGGGCTCACGGAGGAGAGATTTCGCTCGTGGGAAAACAATAATCCGTGATCGTCAGAGGCATTCATCCAGGCCTCGGTCAATGTCTGCTGCGGACACACGCATCTGCCTCTCCGCCTCCTCCAGCTTCAGGTGCGCTAGATGCTAGAATCCCCTCGAACCGGTTCAGCTCGCTGCACATTGAGCCATTCGTGACGCAATCGCACGCATCCATCCATTCGAGGTTTCATCTCCGGAGAAGAAGAATCTGGCTCTCGCTCTCACTCGTTCGTCCAGCCAGCGCCGAATCGAAATCCCACTCTTCGCTGGAGGAACACAACCGTGATCAACCGTGATTTGCATCAATCAGCTGCCGTGAAGTGAGAGCATTGTCAGTCGGACGACGACGATGGCGAGCGTGAACGTGAACAATGGGCCATCATCGAACTTGAGCGAACCGCTGCTCGAAGATGACATCGATGGACGGCTTCGAGAACGAGGCGACTACTGGTCGTGGCTGACGGGCGAGGTGAAGCAGCAAGTGCGCCTCGCTGCTCCCATCATCATCGTCAATCTCTTGCTGTTCTCCGTCAACTGCGTCTCGCTCATGTTCGTCGGTCACCTCGGAGAGCTCGCTCTGGCCAGTGCTTCCATCGCCACCGCCCTCGCCACCATTTCTGGATACACCGTGCTGGTCAGTTCGCCATAACCTTTCCTCGATCTCGATCCTTTTCGTGCTGCGTCGGATCAGCTCGTTTGATTTCTGATTTCTGATTTCTGACTTCAATCGATAGTCGATTCTTTTGGGGGACGTCTGAAAATTGAGAAGACTGACGATTCGCTGGAGTACTGAAGGGCTGAGGGTGGATTGTGATGAGCAGATGGGGATGGCTTGTGCCCTAGAAACCTTGTGCGGACAGGCGTATGGTGAGAAACAATATCCCCTGCTAGGAATCTACCTACAACAAGCGATTTGGATCTTCAACTGCCTCGCCGTGTTGGTCGCGTTTATTTGGCTCAACATGGCACCGATTCTCAAGTTCATGGGGCAGGACGCGACAATCTCCGATGGAGCTGGCGTTTACGCTCGGTATTTGATTCCCACTCTGTTTTCCTATGCCACTCTCCAGCCACTGGTGAAATTCTTGCAGGCTCAGAATGCAGGTCTGCCGATGGCGATTTTCTCCGCCATCACCCTCTGCGGCCACATCCCTCTCTGTTATTACCTGGTTTTCACCAGAGGGCTGGGCGTCAGAGGTGCCGCCATAGCCAACGGCATTTCCGAGTGGCTCAATGTCATCTTTCTCGTTCTGTTCATCAAATTCTCCCCGAGATTCAGTAGCACCTGGAGAGGATTTCAACGACGCGCATTCGGCGACGTATGGAGGTTCTTCCGAGTCGCCATTCCGTCGACTGTCATGCTGTGGTGAGTGTGTGTGCCGGGATTGGCCTCGACTCCTTGTCCCACAATCCATCAATCCATCAATCCATCAATTTATCAGGTACGACCCACTTCAGTCGACGCTGACATTTCGTCACTCGCTGTTCTGCAGCATGGACGCCTGGACTTTTCAAATCGTGGTGCTTCTGTCTGGTCATTTGCCAAATCCCAAGTTGGAAATTTCGGCCCTGTCGATCTGGTAATCTCTTCGCTTTCTTCCTCTTCCTCCGGGATACGAGAATACACCAGTTTGCATGCTTGCGTGCTTACACTGCAATTGAGTACTTAGTGCTTGCATCTTGTTGAAGAATCTTGGCAACTGTGATTCTCTCGAGGCTCGAGTTGCTCGCAGTGGTTTTCCACGTCCAACTTTCCCGTCCAGGTATAAAGTTGCTCTACGGTCTGTCTGTCAGGAAATTACAATCGCTAATGTCATCGTCAGGGTCAATGGTCTGCTCATGTTTCGTGATATGTTCGACTTTTGCACAGCTTGAATACGATCACCATCCTGTACATGTTCCACTACGGCCTCAGTGCAGCGCTCAGGTCAGTCTCTCAATCTGAACCTCAAGAGTTGTTTAACTAGATTCCACGATTTCTAGTCTCGATCTGAAGAAGCGGACCTGAAAACGATTCCCCGATTCCTGCATGCCTGCCTGCTTGTGTGAATTCTCGATCCTTTCGTGGTACAGATGAACTGACATATCGAGAATCTGAATGTGTGAAGCATGAGAGTTTCTACCGAACTGAGGGCCAAACGACCCGGACATGCCCGTGGAGCTGTGGGAGTGACCCTCACGCTGGCAATCATCGAGGGCATCATCACTGCTGTGGGTCTCTACTCCTTGCGATTCCTCTGGCCCCGGGTTTACACTCACGATCCCAAAGTCATCAAGTTCGTCGCGGCCATCGTCCCAGTGTTGTCAGTAATGGCCGTCGTCGATGCCTTCGAAGGGACTCTCAATGGTGCGTGCGAATCAATGGGCCATCATTCTCTGTCACCATCGAGGTTTCGAGCGAAATTCTTTGACAGCAACGGCGAGAAGATGTTGTGCGAAAGCAAAATCAGAGCATCCATCGCATTGACTGACCGTCGTTGTTGTGAGTGTGCAGGCGTGGCAAGAGGATGCGGATGGCAACTCCTGGCGGCTTGCACGAATTTGGTAGCATTTTACGGCGTTGGTGTACCCTCGGCTGCAGTTTTGGCCTTCGTATTCAATCTGACTGGCAGAGTAATTCCCAATCCCTCCCACCGTCCCTTCGACGACATATCATGCCATTTGTTTGACAGTAGTTTCTCTGACCTTAGGTGTCTGTCTGTCTGTTATTGCGGTGTTGATGGAATGGAATGCTGAAGGATTCTCCCCAGGATTTTGATCTTGTCGAATACACGACTTCCATGTCGGAACAGAATGCAATGTCTCGGGCAAGGAGTCATTGTCGCTTCCAGCTGAACCTCTGTCATTTGGCGCATTCACTATCTAATGATCCGACCCGATGATGAATGACAGGGTTTGTGGCTGGGAATTATCATGGGACTCTGCACGCAAGCAGTCATCGTCGGGACCATCACGTACTTCACGAATTGGGAAAAACAGGTGATCCAATATTCCGAATTCTTGTCAAAGGGAGAGAGACCTCCACGAGTTGAAGATAAGACTAGCGCTCCCGTAGCAACTTAGGATTAGGTCCCTCTGCACTCCGACCAGCAGTGACCGAGGCTCTGAACGGCAGATGAAGTGAATTTCTAAGGTCACGAAGGGAGGTCATTGGACTAATGTCCCTTCGGTTCACCACAAATTTTGTACTAAGAGAAGAGGTAACCGGGGCTCGATATGAACTCGACGAATCTTCTTACCTTCTCACTAGCCTAAGCAATAATTCAATCGGTAGTGGATCTCAGAAAAGTTGACGGAATAATAGCGTCCAAAAGGTTCCTGTCTTGTTCGATCTGGACATTCTCGAAGAGCCCCACGCAGAGTTGAAGGCATCTTCTGGGCTTTTGCGATAGGCACTCTGCTCTGCTTATCCTTCTCAGACTTACTTGTTGACAGCAGCAAGTGTGAGGGATCCTGGACTCATCGCATCCATAGAGGAAAGAGGCGATTCGAAGTCAGGGATCAGGTTGATTCTGCAGGTTGATGGCAGCATGTATCACGGATGGATGGATGGATGGATGGCTGGATGGATGGGTGCTGCATTCTTGAACCCTGACAAGGTCACTCGAAACGAGTATCTCAGACTTGCAGATTGCAAATGCAAATCCAGAGTCCGGACTCCTGTAACTTCGAAACAGTTGTCCATAGTAATAGAGATCGAGGTCACACGCCAGCCAGATAGAAAACATGAAGATAACAGGATAGAGAACTAGTACAAAGACCGAGGAGGGAAGGAATTGCTGGAATGGCACAGGAGATTGTTCTAAGTAAGCTACGCAGGTGGCGTACAGCGCAGGATTTCGATAAAAAAACTTCTTTGTTTTCTACGCGCTTCCAACGATCTCAGCTATTGAATCAATGTGGCATGCGATCTGTACAGTACTGCTTGATGATGGTGAATGATCGTGTCGTGCTGTTTCTGTACTGTTTAGGCCCAGAGAGTCCGGGAACGGGTCCAGCGTGAAGTCCTGCCCACGATATGCGAAAATGTGAGTTGAAGAAGGCCTCATTCCGATCGGCAAGAAGAGATCGAGAAGAGACGATTGAATTGATGTGCATCCGCTGGTGTGTATGTATGTCAGTCATTCTACTGCTTTGTGGGCCCTGTGAAATACACATCTTCTGATGAAAATGCCTGCTGCGTGTTCGTAGGACGAGGAAGAGCAATGATCGGCCACAATCGCGCACGGCATGAGGCGCGCGCGCACTTGTAATCTCGTTCAAAGCTGCCAGCGACAGTATTCCATACCCAGCCCTGTACACTGTTAGAGATCCTGATTCTGAGCCGCATCTCCTGCCTGCCTGCCTGCCTGCCTGCCGGTGGGGAGGGATTGTAGTAGTAGGCCCACTGTATTTCTCAGCTCCCTCGATCTCATCTCATTCTCTGCTGAAGCCCGACAATTTTTTCAGCAGTAACTTGCGGAAGGCCCAATCATAGTAGTCCCCACCCCGCCCCACCTCGCCAAACTCGTTACGACTGCCCGGGTTCAGTTGAGATCTCGAGCGAGCGATCTAGCTAGCTGGAGTTTGAGATGCCATAGCTTCTTTGACACACGATAGCTGAGAGCGTACATATCGGAATCCCTTTCGAGCCTCGTAGGCTAGAATCCCTGTCACATGTCTGACGACCTTCCCTGGCCTTAGAGGATCGATTGTCCTTCTGGAATGAGTGCCATGTACGAATAATGAGTCCTTTCAACACATTACCAAAAACCTTACGACAATCAGCAGTCAAGGACGGCTGATCCCGCCTGCCTTGATCGCTTTATAGACCGGCTTACGAGCTTCCGGTTGACAGGGCGCACATGCCCAAGGCATGAAGTGGCCGTGTCCAAACGCGCTTGCTCGTAGGACGCAATTTTGAGCTTCTGGTGAGCCATTCAGCGAGACGTTTCAATTAGTCTTGTAGTTGAGCCAGACCTTTGGCGGTTGGAGTATACGTACCTATATATCATCGCATATCTGGCTGCGGTGGTGACATAAATTGCGAGTTTAGCATCGTCCATATGTACTATAGTTAGGACCCCCTCGATGAAATGCATCGAGACGAAGCTAGTTTCTGTAGATTAGACAGCAACGTGACACGAGTAGAAGAGTGCCGAATCCATGAGTGCTTAGATCCGTTCGACCACATCAAAAAAATTGTAGCATGCGTACCTGTGCGTGGGCGATGTTGGAATAAAATTTTGCCTTGTCACTTTCAATCATCACTCGGTGTGGATCCATGCCGCACCATCAGCTAACTCATTGTGTGGATTTTTTTCTTTGTCCGGGACTATAAATATAATCGCCATCTCAGTGACACAGTTGAAATTTTTTTTCTTTTATCAAATTTTTTTCATATATATTTATTGGGTAACATATGAATGTGACCCAAATGAGACTTTCTGTCTTCATACTTTTTACTGCATTTGAAAAGGTCACGTGATGAGAACAAAATTCTGATAGTTATATCATCTATGAGTGAAGTAGGTTCATGTGTCTCATTGTACAGAGTGATGTTGAAGGCAAACGAATCGCCTACTTTATGAGAAAGACTTTCATAAATCACCATTATATCCATAACAAATTCTCATTTCAACTTGCCGATGTTTAGGTGATGATATTCATAAGTTTTGAAAGATTCAAATCAATTAACCAGAACCTCTCCAGTTCCCCAATCTTACTGAACCAAGACAGAAATCCTGTGATATATACTGATCAATATATATCTATTCTATCAATTACATGTATAGAGTGTGTAAGGCGATCACTAATGCCAAAAATCTATAAACGACATATATAAATTAATACTGACAAGAAAATACTAATCAAAGCTCGATGGATTTTGATCATTAATCCTTATCTAAAACAACTCCAATATAGTTTTGAGACACAACACCCTTGTGCCGAAAGAATTAAGAGACAACCCGAAGTTTATAAACACTCATTAACATTCAATGATTACAACAATAACATAAGTGAAACACGTAATTGTAGATGTAATATCGTGACCAAGTCATGCTTGGAAAACATCTTAAACTGATCATCTTAATAGCTTGTAAAGCTGATTACACATCTATGAAGGTAAACGAACACCAAAATAGGTTTGCATGCTATCGAATGAGACCTTCGAGCAAATTGAACAGAAAAATAATTTCATACAAAAACTTGGGTTTCTGTGACAACAACGTGTACCTCGTTCTTCTTTATCACAATGAGTGACATTTCCAAATCCATCTAGATGACGGTAGAAAGTGCATACTTGTTCGGCCTAAAATGTGCGTCAACCATATCCACAACTTTCACTACTCAAAAAAACAATATTGACTGATGGATTGCGAAGTTCATGGACGTCCTTTAGTGTAGCTCCGGTTGTTAAAGGGTAGAGGTTGGTGATTGGATTTTACCTCGTCATATTGAAGTCGTTGAATCGTAATGCAGTTCGGAACTTATCAATTTCTGATCGATCACAGGCATTGATCTTAGTCTCTTTCGAAGGCATCTTCTACATGTTGCTCATTTCGGTCGTCCTGAGCCCGTCCGCAGGACACACGAGCAATCCCGAGCATCGACAAGGACCAAAGTATGACGATGACTTCTTCTTTCTCACAACTGCTATTTCGGTGGAGGGGTTACACATCCATAAAGCCGATCCTGGGATTTATTCAAGGGAACCGTCAGTGAACACGGAGGTGGACGGACAAAGTGGAGCAGAAGAACCAGCTCAGAGATGAACCACGCACGCAGAGTCCAACCAAAGATGGTTTAACGAGTACGGCACTGTAAACCATGTCATCTTGACACTAGAAAGTCCACACCTTTTCACTTCACAAATTTAGCAGCTCTACCATCACATGCTCGTCCAAAAATTAGAACCAATTTTTCTGAGAGGAGCATACTCTACGGGTTCACAATAGACTTTAGAGAGTAGTTGTGAGCAGTAGGGTAGTGATTACGAAGAGACAAGAAACTTTTGTACCCGATTGTCTCGACATATGTGCATAGAGTACGGAGGATTAGTAGTGTCCATCACCAGTATGTTACCGTGTGTGGTCTTAATTCAACTCATTGGCCCACTTAGATTACCTTTGCATACGTTTTATCTTGCTGTCTCCTCAGTATCGGACTCCTCACGATGGTTTAGAATATCTTGTCTTGCTGATGTCCTATTCAATCGATCAGGTTATAATATATAGAAGCAAGGAACATGCTTGTGGTGTGATAAATATGCATAAAGCCTGCGCATCTTTTCTCACTAGCGATTACGTAAAACGTGTCGCCTGACTGCTTGACAATGAGTTCCTTGTGTGTCACTCTTGTCGAAGTTTCAGAATATTCTTGACTAGGAATTGTGGCAAAAAAAGAACAGCAGCAAGAACATCGTCCAACGTAGGTCTTGTACGCACCGAGGACGTCAAGATGTTTTGTTCAGGGCAGGAAGAAGCATCATACCGCAAACAGCCTAGTCCAACAAATACTAAACACAGGTATTAGACGGATGGGTTCCAGTGACAAATCATAAGTTTACTATGTACAAAAAAGCTCTTAAGTGATACGTCTTCGAGAAGTAAATATTCAACCGCCATAGAAAGTTATAGCTTGTCGTTCTCAAACCCACAGCAGAAAAATCTAGAACATCTTCGCATTCTTATACAATCAGATTGCAACTGTCTCAAAAAACCCAATTAGTAATTCAAATTCTCCAGTCGGCAACGGCATCAACTTCGAACAACTTCGAATAATGCCAACTTCACTGTGCGTTCACATTGACTTTGATAATCTGAATTTTTGTTTGCTTCACTACAACGCCTTTCCGATGTCCACGAGGAGTTGAGAATTAAGAGGCAGCGAAGATAGTACCAGTCGGAATTCAGAGCAGCAGTATATATAGCAAGTGGATATTTTTGCATTCATATAAACAAACCTGCGATTACATTGGCCATTTGCCACCATTTGATAGCAGGTGCTTTGCAGCCACAGAATACGATGAGCTTGACTAGTAGCGAAATATACCCTCCCAAGCGTCCTGCCATTCAGGTGGCAATATCAACTTCGACATGGCAGGAGGAAAGTCCCTCGTACCATTGCGCCTACCCTCGACCCTGCTGCTGGTACTAGTTTAAGTGGCTGTCGCCGATACACAAGCTTACACATTCAAACAATATATTTCAGCCCACCGTGCACAAGTATGCTCTTTAAGCATCGCCTAAATATAAATGAAATCATGAAATTATTATTTTTGGTTTGATTCTTTGATTGCAGTAAATAATACAAAACCATGAAATTTTATTTTCTTATAATAAGTAAGTTTTTTTCAGTGAATCAAACATAGCATTTTCTTTTATTTTGCATCGATAGCCTTTTTAAAAAACAGCAATATCATTTGATAAAACTTTATACTTTATACATATATAAATCACATAACCAGCGACAATATAAATGATAGGAAACAAGACTTTCGATTTGAGCAAACGGTTCAAACCCTTAATCTATGAAACTTGAAACTTTTTGAATAATGATATGAGATTAAGGTTTAAAATATAATTTTGAATTTTATATAATTATTGTCAAAATATTCAAAATCTCATAACCTTCAAATTCAGTTAGTAGATTCAAAGAATGAAAAAATCAAATTTTTATAAAAATATTTGATTTTTTGCTGCACTTTATAAAAGAAAAAAATAGACTAAAAAAGTAACAAAATTCTTCATCAATTGTGCATTATAAATTTTGGAAAAATCACCATCAATGGATTCCAAAGAATATAATATAAAATAAATAATTGAAGCTTGTATTGTGCAAGAATATGGATTTTTCTTTTCACTCGTACGTGGTTTCTTCAAACTTTTACGTTGCTACTGAGATTTGTTAGAGCAAAATATAGAGTTCAAGATTACTCCACTGCATGTGTTAGATTTTATTTTCCTTTGCAATGAACCTATAACTCTTGAAAGTCCATCCAGTAAGGTACAAGATTAGGGTCTTAACCCAACGGGTTGAACCCTGATATGATATTGATATGATACATCAATGATATTAAAAAAAGTATACAACAAATAAAAAAAATTTAAGTTAGATAACTAAAACTTGTTACGCGGATCATTGCGATCAGCTCGAGTCAATGTACCAGTGAGTGGTGTGCAAACATATTTCAACATAAACGTGCATTTGAGTGAAAAAAATACTCAAATGCATATTTACGTGAGGTAGGTGTGAATGTATGTTTGGCAGAGTAGTATTCAAAAAAATCTCGTAATCTTCAAATCACCAGAATATTTTATATGCACATTTAAGTAATACCGTAAAATCAAAGTAGTAGTGTAAACTAATTAGAATGGCAAAATCTAGGTAATTTTGCGTGGAGAGCAATCCTAGCTTCCCACAAGTACGGACTGGATATGGACTGAGTCATCTGAATACGGACTCAAACAACGTCCATTTATACAAGAACTTTGTACCTCAGTTCACTCAATTCATCGTCACAACGATATTACTTGGTGTGTAAGGTCCAAGAATCTGGTGACTTGAAGATTACGAAATTCTTCTGAGGACTATGCCAAACAGACATTCACGCCGACACTCGAATGCACGTTTAAGTTTAACTAGTTTAACGACAAACAACTGCACGGTCATTGTTATAAGATCAGTTGTAGAATCAAAACCACAGGAATAGCACCCAGTTGTAACGCTCAGGTTTGAGGTCGAGCTGATCGCATGGACTTAACACCCGTGCAGCAAGTCTTTGGCATCTCAGCTGAAAAAAGTGTGTTCTTTTTACATTGTTTTTATGACATCACTGAAAATATATATATGGATGCCATGAATCAAAACATGTACATTAATATGCATATCTAATATCTGGTATCGAGTCACATTTTCTACTGGAAGAAGTGGATTTCCTTCTTCAAGAGTGACTATCTTCCACGCCACATAAGCTCCGAGATTGCTCCCTGTAGTGTGCCCAGTGGGAGAGTAGAATAAGAGATCATATCGCGGCAGGAAAATAATCTTTCACTGTCCTACCATATGCATTGGGATTTGTTGGCAACGGAGGGGAATTGTAACTCATCCAGTTCAGAAGTAAACCATAAGCAGTTTCAGTTTGAGTCATCATCGGTCAAGTACGGATTATCACAGATATAATCCAAGTTCATTAGTCCCAATTTTCTGTTTCGAAGAAAGTACACTGAAAGGAGCTCAGCACGCATTCTCAAAAATTTTCAGTGGCCTTTTTACTCCTCGCCTTACGAGCCTGGCCAAAACGCGTTGTTATTACTCTGTAGAGAGTAAAATTGGGATGATCGGTTCTTTATTACATGACGCACTTGCCTGCAGTTCGTGAGCAAAAAGCACTTTGGACCTGAAATATGAAAGTGATGTCGTGATCTAGATTTGTAGGCTGAAATATCCTCATTTGCAATTTTTTCGTTGTTCCCTAAAAGGACTTCGACAGTGGCTCTGGTGGTCCGAATTCTTCAGTTTTTGATTCTTCAGTTAAATCAAGGATGAACTCCGGTTCGCTTGGTTGCTGTCGTTCAGAGCTGCACACGTCAACCTTGCTTGTCAGTTCTTGAGCTTATACAATCCACAAATATCGTGGAACCAGCTAACTAGAATTCTTCTGCCATCGCTGTGATACAAATTGATTCTTACGAGTGTGTAGGCTGTGCAGATTCGACCATGTAATTTCAGGTTATCCAGGATTAAGCCAGCTCGTGCATTCGACCCAAATGACCAATATGCAAATTATTGTATCCATCATACTACGTCATCGATGTTTCAAAGTCTACCCTTGGAGATCTCTAGCTCTGGTATCATAGAGATCATATCGCGGCAGGAAAATAATCTTCCAATGTCCTACCATATGCATTGGTATTTGTTGGCAACGGAGAGGAACTGCAGATAGCTGGCGGTTCCCATCGAAGAGCTCCAAGAGTACAAATTTCCATCGGTTTTCATTCTGGCCTTGCGTTTAGAGTTATCGCTTGGATTGAATATGTAGGGTGGGATCCATAAAGCGTAGAGCACGTCGCTCTTCAAAGAGATGACGATGCCCCTGGCTGTCTTCAGGGATAAGCAGGCGGAATAATACATTGGCCTCCGCCGGTCACACTGGAGCACACCAAGACTGGCCGTTCACCCCATTTTAGCTAGTTGCCTCCTTCAATGGTCATGCTTTGCCGAACGATCTGACCCCATTCGAGGAGAATCACTCTTCATGCTTGTTCTGCAGGTACATGTTCTGCACCTTGAATTCGCTCTCAGTTAGTCGTCAGACAAAAAGACAAGGACCAAGGAGACAGATGAATGGGCACTATAGGAAGGATATATGAAGGATGGGCATTAAACAAAGTTACATTCAAAGCATTAAAATTGTGACGGACGGACGAAAACCAAAAACCTTTGCAACCCGATGATTTTGGAATTGATTCATTCTTGTTTAAATTTTACAGAATATCTCGTGAATACTGCATATAATCTACCAAAATGTAATCCAATAAGATGATAAGAGGTCTTTTATACCGAATTTTAATCCTCTATATGTAACCATTACTTCGTTGAGGATCAAAATACAACGGAGTACTAAAATTGATCCTAGTTATTACAACTGTTAATAATTGGAATTTTCTCACACGCGTTTGGGCTCAGCAAATATATTTTTTATTCTTACAATTATAATATAATATGTTTTTACGTCCAAATTGATAAAGTGTTTTACCTCTTGAAGATAGTTAATAGAAATTCATTTGAGATATTGCATAGATACCTTGTACTTTTTTTATTCAATCCACATTAATCGCTGCAGAATTTCATATTTCTTCTTCAAAAATAACATATATGATACATACATTGAAGTGCTCTCATCAAATTAACATTTACTACTTTGACAAACTCAAACTCTCTCTCAAACTACTTTGACAGTAAACATGAGCTCGATTAGAGAAAAAACTGTATTTTGAACAGCAGACACATACTTTGAATTCTCAGGGCCCAAAGGGCACGAGACCCAAGCCCTAAGCCCTAAGGTACTCAAGGCACACGGCCCTCTCTTCAGAATCCGTACTCAGAAATCGTCAAGACATTTGGAGCCTCCGGTGCTTCTTTTGCAAAGCCAAGAAGTCTGTACATGCTGTTCTGCTACTGTGTAGGGGCCCGGTCATGACTTCCTGCTCGCAGGGTGAAGACACAACACAGACCGAAGCAAAACAACACCAGTGAGAGCGGCTGTTAGGATCATCATCCATGATATAGAGTAGTAGACGGGGAGAAGGAACTGGCGGAATATCCATCATGAATGTGTGCCCTATCGATGCACACAGATGCACACAGACTTCGTGCCCGATCCAGCCACTTGTTAAACTGACTATGACTCTTGCAACATTGCATGGTTATCATCAGCAAACTTTATACATATAAGAAAGAAAGGTGTTGAAAAGTTGCGTTTGTTGATGTCGTCTATGCTCGATCATTCCGGTAGATGAGGAGGGCGTGAGATGGTATCTCGAGCGTGAAAACGATGTGATTCAGTATGCATGAGCATAATTACATCATAAGCAGCATATTGCCGCAAAGTATGAAGAAACTTCAAGAAATAAGTTCAAGTCAGTAGATGCAGTATGGGGAGTCATGTCAAATGACTCCCCATATGAATGAACCGAATGATTTTAAGCAGATGAGAGTCCTCAGAACGTTGGGTCTACCTGAAAAGAATGTGAACAACTAATCGCCAAGAACAACAAGTTCGTTTGCCTTTTGCCAGTTACAAGGACGAATTCATGAGCTTGAAATTTCGTACATGATAATAAAGTTTGTTGCACGTAAACTTATGAATGGATCAATATCAGCACTTCATCTTAAAGTATGATCTACAGCGAAGACCAGGCCTTCTACTACATACCAAGTTACAGGTTCTATATATAAAAAAGACTAACGTGTTGTATGATCGATGCGGCCGATTGTTGCTTGCACGGCTAACTGAGAGCTGCGGCTCTGAGTTGTTTCTGAACCTCTTCTGTGCTGATGTGACCTAAAACTTTCGACGTGCTAGGGAAGAAATTAAGCCGAATGAAACTTCTTAGAAAAAGGACTTGACCTTATGAACCAAACCGGTATTTTATACAAATGCGGTGCTCCTGTGCCCATGATGACGACAACCGAACTATTATAGCCCTTTCTTGCATCGAGAAGACTTTACAATAACGCTGTAAAATCCGATATTAGAAGCAATAGTAGGAGAGTGACGGAAAGACAGGAAAGGTATATCTATATCGTAAAAGCCGAACTTGTCGGACCATTATTAAATCAATAAAACTGTCATTGAGAGAACAACTTAAACCTACACATGCAAATAGCAGTACCAAAGTTCTTTCAATCAGAGAGAGTTGATAGCTCCAGTAATTTCATCTTGATTTAAGCCCAAGAACAGTATCTTTTCTTTTCACTCTAAAGTTACTTGTGACTTGATTTCTTTCTCATGACTGGATGAGACTTCCCACAATGAAATTTTTGGGAACTCTTGTATCGGAAAACATTTATCTCTCATTGACAGATAGTCAATTATAAATTGTTCGTACATTCTTCTCTATCTTTTTCGATGATCAGATAATCTAATCTCTCTAGTCAGAGTCCACTGCGTTGGCTACTACTGCTTAAGATGCTCCCTTCTTTTCCAGAATCACCGAAGAGAATGAAGAGCAAAACTCTGAAACTCCAGAGGCCAACTGCAGCGAAGTGCATAATCAAAGAATTGGTCTTGCTTTTGCAGGTCTTAGAGTCTCCAGACTTTTCACATAAGCCTTTGATAGTTCTTATCAGTATTCCCCCTGCTGGGCAAGTGGTTTCTTTAATTGTCTTTCAGCAAGTCGGAGAGATGAGGTATTCCTGGAAGACACTTGTGGAAGTCCGCAATAAGGTTTGGATGACCATCAAGTATAACTTTAACTTGTGAGATGAGATTTGTGACATCAATCTGTCCAGTGTTGTAATCTTTCAAAAGCTCCAGAAACATGCGGTACATTGCTTTTTCCCTTATGACGCTTCTTACATAAGTAAGCGCATCTATGACGTTTACAGAAAATAGCTTCTCGGCACTCAGTATGCTTGAAAGAAGAGCAACTCCATGTAGAACTCTTTCAAATCCCAGAGTCAGATGGGGAGTACCTCCAAAAAGACTTTCCACATGAGCTACCACCGCGGGAAAATCACGTTGTCCATTGCTATGAGTGTCGAGTATATCTTTGAATCTTTCATACTTGTCGTCTTCAGTCTTGAAAGTGTCAACGAGTCTTTCAACATCACTGAGACATCGATAGAATTCGTGGATAATATTAGTATTCCAAGAATTTCACTGGTAACGAACACATTTTCTTCATCTGACATGCAAAAAGGACTTGCTGCACGGGTGGTAATTCTTCGCAGTCACTATACTAAACTATACACGACTATACACCTCAGCGTTAACACTGGGTGCTATACCAGTCGTACAATCAGATTGATTTGTACGACTGGTCTAATAACAATGACAGTGCAAGTGAGTGTCGGTGTACCAGCGAGTGGTGTGCAAACACATTTCACTATAAACGTTCATTTTTGTGTCGGTGTGAGTTTCTGGTGGGCAGTGTCCTCACAAGAATCTCATAATCTCTTCAGCAGATTCTTGGAGCCTGCATTCTGTTGGAATGATGAATTGGGTGAACTGGGTTTTGATATTCTTGTATTTAACGAAGCTCTCGGAGTTGGTTGTTAGATCACTGAATTGATCTACTCCTTACTTCCATACAGCCTTTTGTCACATTTACGAACACTTCTGCGATGGCCCCAAGTTTATTCTCGGATTCTACCGTCTTGAGCATCAGATCTGACTTCAGACAGGGACGATTCTTGAGGCAGCTGGAGAGCGACCTCTACAAGAATGACATTCGCAGCAGTTTTTAGGACGATTACAGAATCCCAGATTTCGAGCACCGTTTCCCCAAGGCCCAACTTAACCCCTTGACTGCTGAGTGCATGGACATTTCCCATGACTGGATGGTTTCTTTGGGCATAGATAAGGAGCTGGACCCAAGTATGTGGCAATCGTGTCTGTCAGCCTAACTTTCTGAGATTGTGGGCTATGTGTACTACGACGATATAGAGCCCAGAGATTTCCTTTGGCTCTGCAAATTCAATACATGGCTTTTTACTCTCGATACTAAGCTGGATGACGGTGTTTGGGTAGACCGTATAGACTTGTCATGTGATACAATTTTAGAAATGAATCTAGTTCTCTTAAGGAATGACCCTGAGAACAAGCGATTACTGGAAGGCTTGAAATCCATTTTGGATACGTTGATGGCAACCGAGGCTTCCAGAATACGCCTGCAGCTTCAAACATTTCATGCAGATCTGGCGCATGCCAGGAAAAAATCCAAATCACGTAATCTTTGGACTAAAAATCTCTCCCAATCATGATCTGTCTTCTGTTCACGTCACCTACTGATTTGTCCGCTAAAATTGTATTGTCATGCTGGAACTGATAGCCACGATCACTACGATGTAAGCCTGCTGAGAGTAAGTCGCATGTTAAAGTGAAGCACACCGGAAAACTAGCCATGAGGGTCTGAGCTTCGAGATTTCCAACTTAGACTTAGGATTCATAAATCCACGCTGTGCGGCAGGTTGATGTAGATTTCTATCCACCATCATTTTTGGACTGTATGGTGAAGCTCACTAACACTATTGCTCCGACTCTTGCAGTTCTCGAGGTCAAGATGGGAGCGTTCATGTCCGGAGTTCGAGAGCTGTGGCTGGAATATATCAAAGATATGCCTGCTGAGTGCACGTCTAGACAGGCTGAGGTATATCAACGTTACATTTCTGCATGTCTATAGGAACAAAAAAATCGAGTGACAGAGAAGGATATCACTATGGCTGATTACCTCACCCTTCGACGAGGTGCCGGGTGTGTGCCGGCGTTTCTTGTGAGTAACACATAACATCACGGACCTTTCTTTTCTTTCCTCCTGTTCTTAGGATGGAAACCATCATTGCAGAAGTTTTGAGTGGTTTCGTCTACTGCAGGTGTTCGTAGATCGGATCATTGAGCATAAAAGAGCAAACCGTCTTCCCGACAGCTTGTTCTACGGAGAAGATATGCAGAATCTGCTGGCCGCCTGTTCTGACATCGTATGTTGGCATAATGACATTTTCAGTTTCCAGAGGGTACGTTCAGCGTAGCACACTCCGCATCATATGTGTCTACCACATTCACACGGCCCGACGTGTGACTTTGAACTACAACCTTCTTTGACGCAACCATTGCTTAACAATCGTACGTAATAGACTTTTACGAATTTTACTTTGTACTCGAACTATTGCATGATAGAATTGCTGAAATGGAACTTGCGTATGAACAGCTAAGATTTGCCGCCTCTCCTGAGTTTCATCTCGCAATTGACCGGTACATGAAAACATGTCGAGAATGGATTCCTTGAATGTGAGTTCAATTATGTGCTCACCTTTTGACTTAGACCTATAATAGAAAAGTAGAAGATCTAAGAACAATCAAAGAGAAAAAATAAAAAAATGATTAGATAGTGTTAGTTAGATGTTAGTCACTTTATACGTTGAGACGGCTAGATAAAGTAAAAGGTTACGTACAAGAACCATTCTTGAGTTGGTGGCGAATTCAAGAACCCACAACGAGTAGTATCATCTTGACGGAGGTCAACTTGGTGGTAGAACAACAAGAGGAACTGCAAGATTCATTAGCAATGTTCATTCTTGGAGTGCAATTGAATTGTGAGGTGGAGTATTTGAGGAGGAACTATGAAAAGTAAAGCCGCAAGCAGCAAGGTCTGTTTAGAAAAATTGTGACCAGAGCTGTGCAAATTATCAAAAGTAGCGTTCTCCCAGAGTAAAACGCAGTAGAGAAGAGAGTGTGGCAAGGCCAGAAGTGTTGTACTCTTGTGGTAGCCTAGTTTTTCTTTTCTTTCTCCAAATGAGAAATTTAAGAGATCTGGTAGAGTAAATCCTCATAACATTTTCAATTAGTAACTTCTTGACTTAGTTAGGTCTTGATAGATAAAGCTCGACACGCTCGTTCTAACGAGCCCAAGAACTCTTGAAACGGATAAGGTATCATTGAGTTATGAGTGTCGAAAGTGGCTGATATGGATAGGCGAAGGTGCTGAAGTGCCTTCGGCGGTACGGTGACTTCGGCGGAAGGATACCTCAGACCTCGGACTTCGGCGAAGGAATTTTGGCCTTGGAGCAAAGATCTTGCGGGGCCCATATCTTTGCGATAAACAGTCGGATGGAGTTGAAATTTGGTGGGGCTGTTGGTCTCAGCCGGCCGCGTATGCTTGCAAATTTTCAGCCTCAGAGCTTGGATCTAAAGCTCTTAAAGAAGCTGGCGGCTCAGTGCAGTAGATTTAGGATTGGGTTTCAAATTAAGGTTAGGGTTGGCTCGGCAGGCTGGTGACTGCGGATGATGGTGGGTTTTAATGGAGTGCGTCGGTGGTGTGCCACAGTCTTCTATCTGTGTGTTGATTGCTCTCGTGGAGGGAGGAGAGAGAAGAGTTAGGATATGATAGCTAGAGTTTATTGGCAATAGTAGAGGTAGCACGAGTGGCTTTTGTCTAAGTGCAGTTTCATGAGTGTTACTGTTTTATCCTTGTTCGCTTAGATCCTACATCTGGACTCAAACACAAAGGGGTGGGGAGTTTAAAGCTTACATGGAACTCACGAGTTTCACATGACTTCCTTGCGGTACGATGTTTCTAACCACTCCACTTAATATGGAGGATGATGTGAAAAGGTGAAACACATGCTTGTGAGTCAGAAGACTTACAAATGTCATTAAATATGTGTGGACACTCGGATGAAAGTATGCACGTAAACTTAGTCTACAAATTGCCTGCACTTGTGAAGCAAGGTTGAATAAGAACTAAAATAGACGTTGTTGGAGCCCTGGAAGTGATATGTGGATTAGCCAATTTAGAGAGGAAGAAGATTCACACAAATTTCTAGATGAGTGGATTGAGAGTACCTTGAGTTGACTTCAACACAACAGGAAGCAACGTGATTCAAAATCACATCCTATGTCTTCCATTATTCCCAATGGGATCAACGGCTCTTTAACAAAACATAAACTATTTCCACAAATGTGAAATAGTTATGTGTGGCAAGTGAAACAACAATTTGTAAATCAACATCCAGACAACTATTATTCTCATAATGACCCTTGAAAAACTAGGTGATGACGCCCAAATGAATGATGACACACACATATATATATATATATATATATATAGCATTACAACTAGTATATTGTTTCCATATGAATGAAATTTGAACCCTTAGCATTTAAATCTTTTAAAAAAATATTTATATTTTACTGGCAAACTTTGATTAATTCCAGTTTTTTTGACAACAATCTTTGGAATGTTATGAGTGATTTGTTAGAGGTTTCAATTGAGCATAATGGACTTTTCTTGTGTACAATTTGGAATAATATTATCTCATATATACAGCACTTTCATATTGATTTATTTGGATTTCTATATTGTAGGTGATTAAATTTGATACTTTTGATTTGTAAGTAATCAGCTAGCGTATTCTCACTTATGAGACATTGAAATTTTCACGAAGGATTGGTGGTAAGATAAAACTCTAACTTTGAAGAACATCTCCAGTGACTTTAAACTTTACTAACAGAAGCATACTTTAGTACAGAAACGTAAATACACCCGCATGTTCTTAAATTATCTTATATCAATTGAAATAAATAGAATTGGATTGGAAATTTTTTATCCAAAAAATTCCAATCCACTAAATTTCAATCCAAATACAAGTCTGGATGGTACACTATGTAACAAAAGAATATGATCTCTAGAAGCCATTTCTCTCATGTAATATCAGCCCACAACTTGAGCTCTCGACTATCTTGAAAGATAAACACAAGCGACCGCGACAAAGGGTTAGAAGAAGAGACAGCTTAGCAGATCGAGCTATGATCGATTCGATGTCTCAGCGGCTGCCGTGGTGCTCTTAGGGCAATTCGAGTGCTTTGTGAAGGCAGACACGCAGTAGAATCTTGTGGGCCCTACATGCAAAACATGGATAAGCTCCCGAGCTCAGAAACTTCGGGGAAGTTGGTGAGTTACGTTGACGGAAAGTTCGCGGCACTAAGCAAACTTCACAATAATATGAATTTGGTTCTTTTGTGGATTGACGCTAAAAACAAGTGATTACAAGTTCTCTAGTGATAAACTTTAATACTTCTAAAAACTTACAACCCTCCATCACTCAATCACTAAAATCAAGGAAAACATGTGCCTATGTGTTCATTTCACTTTCCAACTTTGACGTTTCATTTAATGATTCTTAGTTGTCTACAATCCGTGATTTTTGATCTGGTGCATAACTTGACACTTGGTCTTTTCATTTGCTTCAAACAAGTTGCCATAAGTTTACAAAACTCTTAAGAAGTTTCCCAAAGATCTCTTTTTTGTCCCAAAACTTCCAACAATGAGAATGAAGAGTAATTTTTCAAGTCTAGTGAAATCAAAACCAAAACCACAACTTTAAAATCGAATCCACAACTTTGAACCGGCTATGTTTAAATGAAAGTATGCAAATAAGTTGGCAAATTCATCTCTTGAAGATAAACATTTTTGCCAAAATTTTTAACAACTAACTCATAATAAGATGTATTAGTGTAGGATAAGTGATGAATCTTAAACCAAGTATTGCAGTTAGAAATTTTTAATCCATAGGCTTCACTTAAGCAAAATGTAAATTATCAAGTTCTAAAGTACACTGTACAAAACCAAAAATTATAATAGTATCCAAAGAATTCTATTTTTTACACATAAGATTAGGTTCAAACTTATATACTAATTAAATCCAAAAGTGATCTTGTTGAAGATACCAAATATTGATCATACAAAAAAATAGACATCAGCACCTCCAAAGGTTCTAATCTTGCAACATAGTAATTCACAAAACAAATAATTTTGTAAACTATCTATGTCTGAGATGAAATATCAATTGTGAACTTGTTTGCTTTTGCTAAAATTTTGCGCCATTTAGCCGTTATGTATCTACAATCCAAACATTACAATTTTTCATTGATCACATTAGATTTGCTTTGACTAGATCTTTGGATTTCTACCATCTTTGAAAAAATTTTGTTCAAAGATTGTGCTAAAATTCAAAGAAAATGTACAATTAAACTAACTATGGTCCTATAGGACACATTCTTATGAACTAAAGCTATAGGTAAAAAAAAGGCGACAAAAGTGCACATTATTTTACTATATATATTCATGATTTTAAATTCTTTTGTAAACGCATTTGGTTTGCTTTGAACTGACTCTTTATGCCTCAAGAAATGATATATGCAACTGTGCACAATTGTATTTAGTCAAGACGACTTTGATTGAAAAGATATCTTGAAGAGAGATTTTTGCAATATGTGTATCATGTATAGGAGTTGGTTTTGCGATTGCAAGCCTAGAAATCAAATATGATTTTCTTAGTTTGATTCATATATACACTTATGAAATTCAAAAAAATATGAGAAGTTATGTGACTTAAAAACACATTCTTTATTAGTCTTCCATTATGACCAGTATGATCAATGGATTTTTAAGTCTGACAATTCTCAAAATTGATTTATGAAAACGTAAATGATATCAGTTATAAGAGTCATACATATTCATGTCACACTTGCTTTACGTTATACAAAGTATAGGATGACAATTGGAAATTGTTTTCCATATTATTGTGCGGCTCAATATCGCCATACATCATACATCGCTGCGGAGCGTCCAAGAAAACACTTGCTCGGATTCTTCCAGTTTCAACAAGCGAAAGCGAGGAGGGTGGCATCGAATTTTGCGCTTCTCTCCGATCCAAGCGCACGGGATGCGGTAAAAGAGACAAGGAGGATTTCCCAATCCGTTTTTACCGGCTCGGCATTAATGTTGCGCAATTATCTGCTCCCAGGCCCCTTCCACCACGTCCTCCTTTTGTCCTTTCCTTCGTTCGTCAGATTTCCAGCATCGCGTGGACTCCTGCATGCTCCTGCCCAATCCTCCTCCTATACTTTGAATGCAAATGAGTATTCAGACTCTCTCTCTAGAACACCTGCTGAATCGTTCACAATGACCGGAATACCTGGAGCATTTCACCAACAATCGGCGATGTTCCACTCAAGCGTAGCGGACCAAGGAGATAATAATGAGTCTTCTACAGGTTCGTCTCTTCAGGAATTGGCTCTTTTGACTGCTTCGATGGAGAAGTCA